TGCAATCATGACAGGTTTTGTTGAAATGCTTTTCATTGAGTTTATTTTTCCTTTAATTCTTACCACATTCGGCTTTAATTTTATAAATAAAACAAGAATACTTAAGAATTTGACACACGATCTGAAGTATTTCACCAAAATCTGTATGGTTCACATTTTTGCTGAAATAGATATATTCTATCAAAGACTCTCCTAGTACCCTTGAGTGACGCTTACCATATGGGCACAAGAACCGCAAATTTATCTTTTATACTTCGCCACTTCATGTTATATGGCCTCACCACTCTAAGGTGCTGTATTTGTGCCTAAATTTTGATTTCATTATCATATATGTATATTTGGTGTTGTGTTGTCTCTATTTATATATATTGTCTTGTCCCATAAACTCCCCTGTATAAACAGTTTTGTATACTCCACCCTTACCACTTTCACCACACTAACCGACCCATTGCCCCACCTTGCACAACTGTCTATATAAGGGACCATATTATACTTATTTCATCTAATGTTTTTTTGTGTTATATTTGTGAAAAGGGGTGCATGCCGCACATTCGTGTTTTAGGCCAGTACGGTCTTGTGCATGCATCCCGTCTTAAATAATAATAACTGTTCATTTATTTATGTATCACTATTACGAGACGAATAAACATACATACTGTACATACATTCGAAATAGCACAAATAGGATAATTGTTTCCAAATTTCGTTTGCATGTATTTGCGATTTCAGCCTGATGTGGATATCGTTCTTTCTCGATATTTTGTTAAGTTAGACGTGAAATAAACAAGCTGCATTGTCTTGCTTCATTTGCAGATTTTTAGAGCAAAAATTAAGTATGGCTACATCTTCTCTTAGGCGACATTGTTTAAACAATTTAAATTTATTTTGCTATATTTGCGGAGAATATACATTGCAATCCATCAGAAAAGGGATCAGTAAATTTGTGAAGTGTCCTTTTCTTGCCTACTTCAATGTAATGCTGGGCGACCAAGATAAGGTATGGGCACCACATATTGTATGCAAGCAATGTGTTGAGCATCTTCCACATTGAACCAAATATGATAGAAAGTCACTCCGCTTTGGTATTCCAATGGTCTGGCGGGAACCGGAAAATCATTTTGATGACTGCTACTTCTGTGCAGTAAACACTGAGGGAATTAATATGAAGAAAGGAAATGGTTGGTTTATCCAAACCTTGAGTCTTCAATTAGGCCAATTCCACAATGCAATGAAATTCTTTTTCCAGTGTTTGAAGGCTTGCCCGAATTAGAATTGCCTGGCTCTGAAGAAGACCAAACTTCCGTTTTGTCCACCGATAGTAGTGAATGCGCTGTTTTAGATGTTGGTTTTTCTTCTTCTTCACTGCCATAATCTTTTTCTCGTGGATAACTTAATAATCTGACTAGAGATTTCAACTTTTCCAAAGAATCTCCTGAATTTCCAGCTCCAAGACTCTCATAACTTTCTATAGAAAACGCCTTATTGAATTCTTGTCATATTTCACTTAGCTCCAATGTTGGACACCAAGTTCAGAAGTTTAAAAAAAGTTTAAAATTTGTTTTTCTTCACAAGTCTGGCTCCTCCTTGGGTTGAGCGTTCCAAAATTGGGTTTTCTTCTCTTCTCATAAAGCTTGGCAGTTTGTGAATGATCTTGAGAAAGATGGCGACTGTTTCAAATATATTTGCAGGAAATTTCCAGGTCTAACCGCAGAAAAATTAAAAGCTGTAATTTTCGATGGACCCCAGATTCGAAAGTTAATGAAGGACGCAACTTTCTGTAATTTTATGAATCCATGGACGACGTTTACAAATGTAGTAAAAAATTTTTTTGGTAAAATCAGAGGCGCCCCACTACAGAGAGCTTGTTGAAAAACTACTCACAAGTCTCCGTCAAATATAAGCATCAAGTTACATATTTTGCACAGCCATCTTGCCTGTTTTCCAGCCATCTTGTCTGTTGGTCTATCAAGTGCGATGATGCCGGGGCCTACCATTCTAGAAAATCAGTAAAACGTCAATTTATAGTTGATGACATCTATTAGTTAGCATTTATGACAACTTCCAGCTTCAATATTTTGGTGAGATTCCATGAATATGTTCAATAAAATTACAGAAAAATGTTGTTTCTTTAATTTGCCTATCTTTGTCGTAGCTATCGGCCATCCTGCAGAGAGAGATATACCATAGAAGAAAAACTAGACCTGATAGAGACAAAGTAACAGCATTTCTGGAATCAGCGCCCTCAAATTTGCTAAAAACGGTAAAACATCTTAGGCACCATAAAAAAAAATTTTGGCGGCCAGTGTTATCAATCAATTAATACGTGTGGGAGTAATTTCTTGCTGTCCACTACGTCAAAAAAAAATCATTTTTAAAATTCAGGCTAGGTCTTATTTTCGGGGAAAACACGATAGTACAAGTACCGAGGCTTGCACGTGCGTGTTCCTCTATATTTTAATAATTACCTTCTACACGTAAAAACATTTTTCCCACAATTTCGTATTCGATTCTATATTCTCCTATCATTATTATGATAAATACACTACTTGTAGTTAAACATGTATTGAGGGGAAAATTTATATATCCTTTATAATTTAAATTCATTGCACTGTGGTGAATTAGAAACCCAGGGAACACCGTTTGTGCGCGTAGGATTTGATTATACATGACAACGTTGGTGCCCTGCAGAAGCAAAAATGAAAATAAAAACGTTTGCCAACGAAGGAAGTCGGCAGACGGCCCATCGTTGTCAATCTTTTTTATTTTCATTTTGATCCTTTTTGCATTTTTCCTATTTTGTATTCCATTTTTATTTTATTATCGTTTTTTTCGCATTTTATTTTTTTTTTAGCAAATTTTTTTTCTTCAGTTTTTTATTTTGTTTTTAATTTACGCGTGATAACGATGGGCCACCATAGATGTGTTTTATAATTTATATTTAATCAATGAATTGGTTTTTATTTATATATCTCATTGAATTGCGTCTAAAACTTTCATGGAATGATATAATTTAAACAAATATATATGCGGAAAAAAGTTTCGGAGTGGGTTCGAATATTTTTTTCGAATGGATTGATTCCAACGATTACAATATATTTGAATGATTTTAATCTGCAGTTGGAAGCGAGCCCTGAGAATCAATAATGTCTTCCTACGGGATTACCAAGAAGTTGTTAACAGCGCAACGTAATTCTTGCCAGCTTGCTTATTTCGGGGTGCAGACATTCAAATGAGTTTTTTTTGCAAATTCTCCTTCTCTTACAGACAAACACGACTGCCACCACCGACTTATCAAACAAAAACTGAAGGATTTTTGTAAAGACCATTTTCACTTACTTCTAGTGATCTAAGATCTAGTGGTCAGTAATTCCTCAATGTTACTTACATTCCTTCGTTAAAATACTGATTAGGTCGATAATAATAGCATTTCTATATAGTCAAAACGATAATTCTATATTATAATGTGGAAAAATGTAGTACATCGGGTAGGTATTGTTTGTTGCCTTGTGTTTATTTGCAGCTAAAACACACACCATCATGGATGCACGTTACATGTTCGGCAGCCGCAGGTTGTGCACCTCTGAACAAGGTCTCACTGTTATAGGTACGCGGAACGGGGTGTTTCAGTCGGGTAAAGATCAAGTGCTATTCTTACCTCATACTCGCTAGGAATGTGCCTGGAAGCAAGAACACAAAAGAAAAATCCCTTCTTGCATTTGCTGCTCTTCTCTATATCTTTGCGGAGCTGGAATTATAATTAATGTCACGCGACAACACGAGGAAGGCAAGTTAAGCTAGGGTTACCATACTTGAAAAAGCAAAATTCCGGACAGTGCATGACTATTTTCATGAGACCATATATATATATTCGCTACCGAAATGCTAAGGTTGCAAACGTTGTACGATACTCATGCTAAAGCGCCAGCTACCGAAATGAATCTCAACTTCAGAGTAAAAAATAATAATGAGAATTAGGTTGTGCCGAAAAGGAAGAACAGCAATTACATGCTAAAAACACAAATTAAAGACACGCTTGTAAGTCAAGTCACTACAAATTTACTCTTCTAACCATGCATAATTTTCTGAAGATCTAATTTCAAAAATTCACTACAGCGCATATCTTGGAAATTATATTGAAGAGTCAATTTCATAGTCGTTACGTAGATTTTCCCTGATCTAGCGTTGTTGTGATTGTGACGCAACAATGTGAATCGCACAGCTTTTCAGCCAAACTGTGAAATCTCAAAAGACAATGTGATGCGAGCATTGCAGAAAGTGATATGCATCGAAACAGAGAGGGGGGTACACATTTTAAGTAAATCTCTAATCATATGGGCGAAATCGCCTGCTTTTATATACTGTTGGAATGTTCTAGTAATTTTCGCATCATCTAATCAATTCGGATTCAGCACAACGGTCAATAAGTTCTAAGTGATAAACATAATTGGTAAGGAAAACGCTCTGTTATCATAATAAGTCGAAATGAACTTATACCTATTATAATTCTATACACCCGTGTAGTAAAAAATATGTGCACGGTACGAAATTACAATGTATGCGCAGTGTGCACAGTACGATTGCAGATGCAGTAAAATTCCGGACATTTGAGCATTTTTTAAATTCTTCCCGGACGCAAAATTTAACCCTAAATTCCGGACGGTATGGCAACCCTAAGTTAAGCATGCCCGAAAAGATGGACTCTCAGATTCCAAGTGTTATTTATAGTCGTAAATATCGCGTTGACAATAATTTAAACGCAGTCTGTTCAAGATTGGGATATTTTTCCATGGACACAAGTTTCCAGAACTACATAGCCCCTTCCCTGGAGACGTTTCCAGTTGGCCCTTTTAAAAATATCGATATGAAATGTGGCCAGTAAAGCAATGCAAGAAGACACAGATCCTAGAAAATAAGATTTCAAAAATTCGGCAGTCGCAGTGTTGCAATGGATGACATACCGGTAATAGAGCATGTTCCCTTATTCCGCATATTAAACGAGCAATGGACATTGTATATATTTCTTTGTTAAAAAATTTGCAATTGATTTAAAGCAGGAAAGGGAAGAAAGAGCACATTGATAAAATAAGAGATACGCTAAAATCAATATCAGTAGTTTAATTTAAAAATTACAGTTGATCACGAAAAATACAAATAAGTGTAAGCATCGCAAATTACAGAAAAATGTGCAAGAAAATATTTTTGCAACTAGTTGCTTTATTGATCATTTTTGGAGAATAGCAGATCGTGAATACAAAATCATGCACTCTAAATGTTTTTAAAGGTGTGGAGAACAAACTATTAGTGCGTGTATTTTTACATATTGGCTTTCAGGTCACAAACAAGCAATTTCAATGAAACCTGGTTGAAAAAAAGCCATTACCATATTGTTGCTTTTAAAAGTTAATCTTGAATTCCCCCGCCCCAAGTATATTATGAATTCGGCAGAGCAGCACAGCTTAGTTCCGGGGGTATAAGCACAACTTTTCTAAAATAATAAAACTGTGACAAAATCATTCATCGAAAGGCAGTCGTGAAGTGAAACTGACAGGCTTGCACCTCGATGATGCAAGATTGGCCAATCAAAGAATATTCTGTTTCAAATGAATATAATTTCAAGTACTTGAAGCAGTCAATCATTCAATCTGGCAAGACATCGTAAGAAATAGTTTGTCAAATGATATTGGTTCAGAACAAGACATAAAAAGTATAATACGCTGGTACAAAACACAAAAATCAGACATTTCAGGTCATAAGCACTAGTAAATATGTAACTATGTACAGGTACAGCCATATTTATGATTAACGAAATTTATAGTGATCATCTTATAACTGGGCTATACTTTTGTTGTAAATCATTAAACAATGCCTGAAAGTTTAAATTCAATAATTACAAAATATGAATGGATTCCTTCAAGTACATTGGAACACCATATAAAAAATAAGAAATATATTTCAATGAGAAATAGAAATAAAAGTTACTCTTGAACTCGTTATAAATTGAAATCAAAGTTCAGTGGGATGTTTTGATAGTTTATGTAAAAGGGCAAGAGTAGTTTGTCAGCGTTTTTGTTGTTGAAAGTAGAGGTCGGGTACACTGATTTTGTTTTGATCGTTGTCTCGGTTGACTTTCAGCATATTGAGGAACTTTTTAGAACTGATTATTCAGCAAGAAATCTACGGAAATGTAAATTCGCACATACTGAATTTTCACAAGTTTTTTTTAACTTTCTGCTCTTAATTAGGCTCCAGACGAGCAGTCAATGATGCATAAATAAAGAGTTTATTTACTGTATTGACCGGCATATTTCAAGGTTGGCATTGTCTATATAATTTTAAAATGGATTGACACAAAGATATTTGTGTTGGATGTAGTGTTTATTAAGATGAAATTGCAGGTTTGTATATGAAGTTTGTGTCCCGGTTATTCCAAAAATGAAACCCAAGTGTATCACTTCACCCATGTCATGACAAATTCAGCAGCAGACAGGAAAGTAAACAGTATTATTAACTTGCCAATATTTCTTTATTCATGCTCTCCACACCAATAGATGGTTAGTGCTATCATCACGTCCAGCCGATTCACTGGTTGAATTCATTCGAAAATCTTCATAACTAAAAAATTGTTTCGGAATTACATATACCTCCCAATTTTGACTCAAAGAGTGATGCAGGTTGAATTATTCTTGATAAGGATAATCTACAGCAGTAGTTCTCAACCTTTTTGTCTTTGCGGACCCTTCTGGTGCTCTCAAAGCGGTCGCGGACCCCTCAAAAGTTTTTCATTTGAAATTTTGTTTATAGCTTAAACAGCAACCTAATTTTCCATACAGATTTAACCAAGTCAAAAATAACACTAAACTAGTGGACATTTTCATTTATTTTGTCAAATCGAATACACTTAAATGGATTTCTGCTGTTGTATATCAAAAGCAAGTCTTGAAATACGTGGTATGTTTTTGATAACGATAGACGCATATCGTCGTCGACGTTTAGTTGGTTACGAGCCTTGGATTTGATATGAACGAGAGCAGAAAATCCACTTTCACTAAGGTATGTGGAGGCGAATGGAACAATAACTCGTAATGCTTCCATCGATACTTTTGGGTACGATAGCAAAATGGCGCACCAAAACTGAGAAAGTGATCACTGTAGCTGCGTTCTCGTATTATCATGTCATGTAATAACTCGTATTTGTCACAATAGGTCTATGGGAGATAAATCAAAATAGTTTTTGTAGGCTATTGTCACATTGTCATAGGCAGCAAATGTTCGATCGTATCACAAAAAAAACGATATTAAACTGCAAATAATTTCCCAAAATCTTAATTCAATCGCGGACCCCCTGGAAATGCTTCGCGGACCACCGGACTCCCGGTTGAGAACCACTGATCTACAGTCTAGTTCAGCATTACTGTCTACAAAATGTATTACATTGCGTGTGCTTTGGTTTTTATGGGCAGTTCACTCCTCTAGGCAAAAGACACAAATGCTCTATTCTATAATTTTCAATCTTGTCAATCATATGTTACTCCCTTATATTAGATATGAAGATGGTGCCAGAGGTAGAGTATTGATTCGCATATATCTTATTTTGTGCATGTATCTATTCTATATGAATTTCTCTCCACAGGACAAAACAACACATATTTTTTTTCTGCATTTTCCAATTGTCCAAAGATCAGAATGCATTATCTGAAATTTCTAGTAGATTAAACTACTACTAGTTTTACTACTACTAAACTAGTACTAGATAAAAATAACAGCAAGAAGTTATTCATAGTGACCTATTAGAAGAGTGTTGGCAATCAAAGAGAAAAACACAAACTTATCTTACCCATCTCCACCACTGATAATGATTGAAACGTTTCGAGATTGATTTGTTAAATTGGAACTGGATGATAAACGCCTTTTATTTCCTGCTGAGGAGGTTCGCCGTGAATCTATGACAATGAAAAATTTAGCATTAGGTGCTACAAATCTTGATAGTTTGACGCAGGTCTGACTCTTAACAATATCGACAGTGTGGCAGGATTGGGAATGACGACCATGAAATATGGTGATATGCCCATTATCATGAATATTTTCAAAGGCTCAATGTTTGCTGGTTTATAAATAAAAGATTTAGTGTAACAAGCTTCGGGGCTCCCGAAGTATGCGAACCAAGATGGCGGACATCGGAATGTAATATGTGTACTAGGTTAGGGTTAGGCCATAATTTTAGGTATAAATACTACGGGAGGCTCTTGGCTAGTCTTCGAACTGATAATAGGACTAAAATAAGGAAAATTGGAAAAAAATTATCGCCTAACCCTAACCTGTTACCCATGTTACGTTCCGATGTCCACCATCTTGGTTCGCATACTTCGGGAGCACCCAAGCTTCTTTGCATGACATTATGAAAACATGTAGGTTTTGAAAAGAAAAAGAGAAAAAAATCTACACTCACTTCCTCTAGATAAACTGTTTTGTTCTTTATCAGCTAGCTCTGCTGATGCAAGAAATCGTACATGACCAGTATGCCCATATGCGAGTCCTTGTGGTATAACAGGCATAGCTAGGGCTGAAGTGTGTGATGTTATTTTGGGTAATGTCAAAGTCAACACAACACCAGCACTTGTTCCCACCCAGAGCAAGTCATTGCATACTAAAAGCGCAGTGATCCGGAGACAAGCTGATTTGTGTTGCCGAATGATGGCATCTGCACCTGAGAAATTTCAAGAGAAAAATTAAAATATCGAAAGGTGGCTATGATACCATTCAATTGAAATGTGCATACAAAACCAAAAAATTGTCACTGGCCCTCTAAATCAATGTTGCCAATATTATATTCCTTATAGAAAACATTATGTTCAACTTTAAAATCATGTCAAAAAAATTAAACAACAAAATTTCTTAATAAAGTCGAAATATTAAAATTTATAATTTGTCAAGCGTACAGCGGCAAATTATTATTATTACTGTGTGAATGTATCTACTATATAATTTATACTAACATTTCCAGAAAAGAATGGCACCCAGAAACACATCAAACATATTCCCACCCTGAAAACTTGTGCGGTTTATTCAGATGGACTTGCTCTAAAGTCTAAAGAACTAGTGAGAACTTACTTGCAAGCATTTTGCTGACAGGAGTTGATACATCGACATCAGTGAGTAAATCATGCGTAACTGTGTGGTAAAGTTTAATCTGTGGACGTTTATCAAGTGCAATCCAGACGCCATACCCACAACTAACCATACAATATATCTGGAAAATTTTAATTACAAATAACTACAATCATGAGAATTAGGAACACAAATACAAATGAATGTGCACTAAACACAAATGAGGAACAGTTAGCCAAAACATGTATGTCAGAAGTTGGGATTACAAGATATGTTGTGAAATTTATAAAATGTATACAAAAATATTTCGTTAGGATACTGAAAACATTTCTGTTGAGCTGACATGACCTCTATAAAATAAACCTACAATTCCAAACTGATATTTGTGCCAGTACTTGTTAACATTATATTATAATAGAATCTCATATGAAATATTTATGTAAGCAGACTGAGAACACATAGAGGTTCAAATGAAACATTCTACCTGTCTTTTATTGTCATTCGTGACTGGAAATTGACTGACAACAACATGCTGCTGAATATCAATAATTTTAATCATATTCTGACAACCACACCATAATTCTTTCTGCCCAATGACAACCATCTTTGTGATTGCATGTGGTGATGACACTAAAAGAAAACAGATGCTTAGTGCCATCAAGCAATTGTGAACCCATAAAATCACTGTTGAGTCAGTCATAGATCATATGCCTCGTCTCATGACTATCGATTTATAAACTATTATCACATTGGGACTTGGTGACATGAACAAAAATGCAATTAGGATGATAGTTTTAGCGCTTACCGGAAGTAAAAAATTGACATGAGTATGTATATTCAGAGGTGGGAATCGAAATAATTGTCTACTCGGACTGCCTATAATATTCTAGAAAATCACAAAAGAAAATATGCAGGGTTCCATCATACTGATCTGTAAGACATATACAACTAGTTTATTATTCATATGACTAATAAGGTATTGACTTGTACTACGATAAACATCCCCGTGAATAAAATTGGAAATACAGTAGAACCTTCACTAACGAGATCCCGGATACGAAATGTCTTTTCTTAAAAAAATTTTGCTATGAATAACGAAAAATGCTTCTAATTCTGGAAGGTCGAAAACCAAAAATTTAAAAAACATGCTACTGGCTGTTTAATTTTGAATTTACTGTGTGTGCTTTGAATTAAGGGTGTGTGTTCATTTTCGTACATTATGTTCTCTCTCAACTGTCAACCGTTTGTGCCTCCTCTCATTCACCGCGGCCTTTGATTAACCTAGCCAGTCAATGCCAAAGGTAAACAAGCATACCGCTCCTAGTTTTTATTCGTTATTTTAATTACTTCATTTTCATTAAGTAGAATTTCTACTGTATATATTATAGCAGATAATATTAAGAATAATTCAAGATATTGATAATTAAATCCTTACCTTTTGATTTTGTTTTCTGATTTTCAAAATCCCATTCACCATTAGCTAAATTTCTGCTATAAATAACTAAATCTCCATTGCTGAGTGCTACGAATACCTAAAAACGTGTAGTTTCAGTACAAAAAGAAGTTGAGAGGAAGAATTGTACCTTCAAATAAAAAATTCACACTTTGCTGTATACAACTGGTTCATAATACGAATCAGATGAATAATATGTCACTTCAACACCCCTAGACTAGAGGTATGGATCAGTGAACTGGGGGAATGAAGAGGCATTTAGGCAATATTATATGGCATACAGAATGCTTCATTTCTAGTATCAGTAAGATCTTATAATCCTTATTGAATAAATCATGTAACAGTGGCTTCTGATATATACTCTAATAAATATTAATGCATAAGTAAAACATGAACCCGAAAATTGGCACTTACTTGCCACTTACAAGACTTGGGTGGTCTTATTTTATCTTAAAATGATATAGCCTAATATTGCAGCTTTTGCTGAAATGTTGCATTATTGGAATGAGGTTGTTCCCTACACCAACATTGCTATTCAACATGAAGAAAACACAACTTCATAATCAACTATAACAGGGTGGTCCAAGGTTGCGAGGTAGGCGGGCCGCAAAAAAATTTGAGGATGTCTCGCAGGTCGCAGTCGGAGAAAACCCAAAATTGATCAAAACATCGCGAGTTCACTCACTTTAGATATATTCAAGAATGAGACCAATTACCAATCAGTTTTTCATGGAAGATATATAAATCCTTTAGGTATTTTAAAATTGTTTCCCGAGAAATACTGTGATATTTTTCTCGAGTTTGGTTTTGTAACATCGCTTCAAATTATATTCTTTCGTGACAGATATTACTTGAAAACAAACCAGACACTTTGGTTCAACGTTGTTGTAGATTAAGAAATATGTTTCCTCGCAGTTTACCTCTGTCACCTCTTTTTACACTCATTGTCTGATGAATTGTTATATCTGACTAATGTTACTACTTGTAGTGTAAGTAGGCCTGGTGCTATCGCTAATGAACATCTAAGTCCGTCTGAGTTGGGACTCGGGGCTAAAAAATGGATTGCGGGGTGCTAAGTCAGCTCTGCGGTTCGTCACTGCTGTCACATGGCCAATGCTTGAAAATAGAGGAGTGTTTTTACAAAAATAAAGGCACAAAATAAAGGAGCTACTTGACGCGAGCTTTAGGTACGAAGTTTAGATAAAAAAGCGACTCATCGGCTCGGTCCTGTCTGCACAAAACAAGTCATTCTCTTTGTACCAATCACAGGGCGTCATTCCATATTGGCACCGTTTTGACTTTTATAGATATATTGAAATTCTGTGATTTTAATAAACATCAATCCCGACATCGAGATTAGGAAAAGGACTATTCCCAGTTGGAATAGTTTAAAAATAACTCAAAAATGTTCTGCCAATAAATACAAATATTGGCCAATGGTTTAGTGTAACGGTGCACAACCTGCGGCCGTAGTGAAAAAATATTGCGGCCGTCCAGATACAAAATTCTATAAACAATAAAAAAAAAAAGTTCAAAATATAGGATTTGGCGGCTATGCTGGCGTATATTGAAGGAAAACAGAAGCACTGCAAAAAAGTCAGACGACACGATGCGTCACAATCTGGATGGTGTATTTGCTGTTAGGGATTTCCCTTCATGGTTCAGATTGATCACATGTTTCGGAAGCCTAGAAACACAGCAAGCTAGCCCAACAAGGTATCCGCAGCTTACAGTCGAGGAGATTGTAGCAGTTTTATTTGATTCTGACTCTGATTTGTATGACAAGCCTGATAGTGAATCTGTCGATTGGCCAAATTAGCAGTGAAGACTACCATTTCAAATTAGGTCTAATTAAGCTTGCTGTCAGCAACCAGATTGTTTATTACAGCGCTAGCCTATATTAAACTGCCTGTAATTACTTCATGTCGTTAATCGGAAAAGAACAGTGGCAGGAGAGGGAAGGGTATTTAATTCCAAATGGAAGATAGATTACTTCATGATCGAGACAGCAGCACATACCATGATGCGTCTTATATGCAGTCGACTTTCAATTTTTTTCAAAATTGTGCAACCATTATGCAACTTGCTGCAATATACCTGCTCAAGAATAGGTCCACCGAAAAGAAAATCTGTTTAAATAGCGGATATTATACTTCCAAGTAAGCCTACATACTTCATAATTGGGCAGATTGCACCTAGCATGGGTCAAATACGCGGTTATGATGTCATAAAAGCCAAAATAGTTTCGTCAACCCCCTGGCGGCCGTATTGAATACAAATAAATGCAATGTGGCCGCCAATAGCAAAAAGGTTGTGCACTCCTGGTTTAGTGCATGCTAAAATTTTCCCGCGGGTCGCACGAAATGTGTCAGCTGGCCGGATGCGGCCCGCAGTTTGAACCACCCTGAACTATAATATCATTATCAGTTATAATAACTAAAAAAATAAGCACATTGAACAAGCATTCCACGAACGAAAATTATTTTGCAGGGCAGAAATTAATTTTAGACCAAATTGCAAACTAGGTTAGGAAAAGTTTAATAAAAACATCAGAAAAGCTTTAGAGAGAATTTACAAGACAGAAAAAGTGAAGTAGCATAATTATACTTAGAAACTCAACCTGTGCTTCATGATAAAGTATACATTGAACTGCTGCATTGTGAGATAACCGAACACAATGTTTGTTTCCTCGAACACTTCCCGATGATTGATAGATGTGAATTCTGTAGAATAAAAACACCAAAATTGAATTTTCCCTGGTAAAATCCGATCATTAGGAAGATCATGTAAAATATAAGAGTGTAATAGAGTAATTTAGCCATGACAGCAATCCTAACATTATTCATGTCTATTATACAAGTTAAAGCTTCCATGCAAATAAACATCCTTTCAGGAGCCAATCAGATTAAAGTGATTCAAAAATATGGATGGTATCTTTTAATATAATATGCACATCTGCTGAAGATGCCAGGCCAAGACAGAAAATTAAAAAAATGACTTTGATGACTTTGGAAATTCAGATGTTCCTGCTGCTAATTTAGTGAACGAGTGACGTTCCTTCAAATGCCAGAAATTGTTATTTATAAGGTATATAATCCTTTAAAACAGGGCTTCCCAAACTTTTGAGCTCGCGGCCCCCTTTTAACATTTCAAATTTTTTTGCGGCCCCTGTTCAGGTTTAATAATGCTGAACAGTTAATTCTTAATGACACAGTTAATTCTCAACTTTTAGTAGACCTACTCAACAACAAACACATATTCACTCAGGTTAACATTACTCAATTATTCAGTTTGATGGGTGCGAATGCTTTTTGCTGCACAGCAAGTCCTGTCGTGGCTCAATGTTTGTTAATGCAGGCCTCAATGATTATGAATTACGATGTCTGGCCACCGACATCATTGTCCTTTGGCATTGTTACTCATTCTTAATGATCAAATTTAGCATACGGCAGCAGTTTGTGCGACGCCAAATTACCAGCAGGGAAAAAACTCATGGCGCACCTACACGAAAAAGAAATGCTGCCTCTGAATAAAATACAATTTTGTCATCGTTAATGAGTACTTCATGACTTTTAAAGTTTATAAACATGTAGGCCTAAATATAAATGCAAAAGGTCAACTTCTTTTCCTTATCATCTCTGCCTGGTTTTTCTTTGAAATGCTAAAAAAAATCACTCATGTTCGATAAACACGGTTAAGCAAATAAATAAACTGCAGCAAGTAGCGTTTACCTCTTCTGTTACGTAACAATGGACCATGCGTAACAGAAAGTAAACAACATAGAAAGGTAAAACGAATTTATTGATTCATATACACCACTTTCATAATAAAACATTTGGAATAAATAAAATATCAAATCATATATAAGTTGATATTTGACACAAATCTCTTAATTTTCGGGGCGCATTTAGCAAATCTCCTTCGGGAACCGCTTGCTTAACGATTAAAGCCGTCAATGTTATGCAAGCATGCGCAAATCGGGTTTTAGGATCTGAATAGGCATTGCTATGCAAGCGCGATGATTCTACCGCGTTTACCCAAAAATAGAACCCAGCCTGAAAATGCAACCTAGCCTGTAATTAAAAAATGATTTTAATTCAAGCCCTACCTTTTAAAATAAGACCTAGTTGATAGATCAAATTTTTTTTGACCTAGTCAATAGCAAAAAATCTTTCCTACTCTTTTTAAATGGTTATTAGTAATCTATGTTTACCAGTTATTTTAAATAAAAATGTGTTATTCAAAAGTGAATGGAAATCGGTTTTCATATTTTGTATATTTGAAAATCTCATAATTGTCTACTTTGTAATTTTGTGTTTCATGCATGAAAATTAAAGACATCCCCCTGAAATGATCCCTAGAGTTATTTTTTGAAAAAAAAAAAATTGAAGACAATGTCTTATTTTCGGGATATGATAATGTATTCACTTGGAATCGTTAGATTTTTCTTTTACACAAGTTTTGATAATTGTGTTTCGAATCAAGAGTCTAAAAAAGTACATTAGATATATATAGTACTTTGTGTAAAACTAGTGTTCTCTTCGCGGCCCCCAAGATTCGTTTCGCGGCCCCTTGCAGGGCTGCGGCCCCTAGTTTGGGAAGCCTTGCTTTAAAATACATCTTGAGAGCATTGTTTGTCATTAACATTTCATTCATGTAGGAAAATGAATGCCGATTACCAGTATATCAAAACCACTTATACAATTAGGAAAAATATATTCATTCTAAGTGGAAAAAAAAACACAGACCTCAAAGCTTTGAATGAATAAATCTTAAGTACTATCACAAAATAATATGATCTTACTTTCCATCTTCAGTACCAAGCCACATTAAATCTTGGCCTGCTAATATTTTCTGCGCATCCCTCAATTCTTGTGAATTGTCACCTTGTCCAAGCAAATCTTCAAGGCTACCATGTAATGTGGATCCATCATTATCAATCTTCCAAGCCCCACCATTATGGTTATCTGATTTACCAGCATCGGCTATGGATGCAGTGTCTGGATATTCTGTGAAGAGAACTTTTTTTACTAATCGGTAGTGTATCTTCTGCTGAAAACAACAGCCAAATTCCCACAGATTTTTTTAGCTTATAAACTATAAAATGTCCTGGCAATTTGAAAAGGCAGCACGTATTTACATAACTTCAAATAAGTGATTAGCAGCAAAAGTAAGGTTGCTGAACATACAGTTAGAAATTGTTAATCCACCTTTTAGAAAACAGATGTTCACTTCAATAATAGGAAGCAATATTGGAACTTAATTTAAAAACAATTATAAAGGATAACTAAGGCCAGTTTAAGCTGATATATCCATATGCTGAGTGGCCTGAAGAACTTTTTTCAGCTTTTGGAATATGTAGGAACTAACAAAACCACAAAATTCATATTGGGTACACTGTAATGCATATTTGTCCGAGCCTCGACCCAGGAAAATTTTCCTATCGTCGTAATATTTCTGATGCATATTTGAGAACGGCTTTGCAAGGGAGTTTAAATGTTCATACCCACGATTTACAATATTCATTCAATAACCATTTAAAGTTCTCTAGCTGATTTTAGCCTAGTCTTTCATAGCTCTCTCCGTACTAATTTTGATTACAGGAACTAAACTTCTCGGAGGATAAATGACCATTGAGTTATTTAATATGTATCTAAATTCCAGATCACAACTGAAAATTGAGTAAGCTATCGAAACCACAAAAATGAATTGTTTACCACCATGCCTGAAACAATTGGTAAACACCAATTTGTACCAAAATTCTATTTCTATGAATTTACCATATGAATGTACACACTGCATTTTTTGAATAAGATCGCTATACCCAAAGATTATGCTTAATGTGCATTATGCATGATTATATAAGGTGTGGAACAGCTCATTTAAACAGAGACCACAAACTGGAGTTTGTATCAGAATGAAGTGGGAGTTTATATATGATAGGGTATACCTATATTTTAAACATAATACATAAAAATGGGATATCATACTTCATTTATATAGAAAAATGGAACAACTACTCATTTAAAGTTGACTGATACGAGGAAACAATGTCTAGATACCACTGCCCAGTGGATGTAAAGAAGAGAAAACTTACCAGAAATACTGGCTATTGTACTATATGGACTTGGACTATATGAACTGTTGCTCATTGTGCTATGAGGACTTGTGTTCTCTTCATCAGTGTCATCGCTAAGAAAGCAATGACAAAAATTTAGATTTGTCTTCGAAGATATCGCTGCAAATCAAGTTTGATCAGGAACAGATTCAATGAGTTGAGAGGTTGTATAGGTAGACTTTACAGAATGAAAACTGCCATCATTAGTAATGTTATGTCAGAAAAACCTAAGTACATTTTGAATTAATCTTACATGTCATCATCCCAAGCCATTATATTGGCAGCATCATTATTAGTAGGTTGAACAAGGGGGCCTTTTGCAACTTCTTGTAATAGAGTTTGTGCTGGAACAAGTCTACGTTCCCAAGATGGAACCTAAAATAATGTAGATTGTTTCTGTATAATCAAATTCGATAAATCACATGCTGGCTGGTGTTATTATTGGTGGCTATTGGCGATATTATTAGGGTGTGGGCGTGGCCACAACATATGAAACTCATACCATAAAATGAAACCCTAGTACTAAGCCAACATGTATCTGTAATCAGCAGAAATCCAGACATGGCCTCACGTATCAACTCATGCTGAAAAATATGAAACCATGGTTTCAAACCTTGTGTCCAAATACACCAGGTAAATCTCCAGTCACATATCCAAATAAGGAATCAGCTGATTTTGTGCGTTTCCCAGACTGTGGCTGCATGAATTTAGTTTTTACATAAAATACATCATAATAGTAATATAATAACCATCCCTACGGACGACTATGCTTTTCCATCCTAAACAATTTCACAGCTACACTATCAGGGCCTTAGAGGTATCTTCAAGCATTGGAATTGGAGTTAAAATGACTGTTTTCAGTAAAGCCGAAGCATCAGGTTACCTATATACCGCATGAACAGAGCAAGTATTTTCATTATTGAATGCAAATTTGTTAAAATATATTTTAGTTTCCTGATCTTCTACTTCTTGTTCTGAAGTTATAAAAAGGGGTTTTTGTTTATGTGTTTTTATCCATACAAAAAGTCAAAAGATCTTACTTGAGCTATGCAGCATATTTTTGCATGACATACAGTGATACATTGAGTCTGATTTGGTTCCGGGTCAAGAGTTAGGAAAACAACCTAGAAAGATATCCTGTTTTAATATTGAGAATATTGAATGATGAATACAAAAATAAAATAAAAACGAGTGTTTACCTGACCAACATAACCATCTGTATTGCAGACCCAAACTTCTCGAACATCATCGACATTGGAAGCCGCACAAGAAAATTGCATTCCTGCTCTTGTTCTACTGATTGGAATCGCCTTCATAAACGTTGGCTCCCATCTATTTTTTTGATTTGCTGTGGAACATGGTTATGCAAATTTATGTCAACATTGACTCAATAGCCATCAAAATCGCATTACAAGTTACATTGACCATTACGAGACAAACTCTGAAGTGCAAAGGTATAAGAGCATTTCCAAAATATTAAATAAAACCTACATAATCGACTCTTTGCATTTGCAAACATTCTTTCAAATTGTATTTTATTGTCATCTGTGAGAAATTCAAAAATAAATGTCTTCATTCCATCCCTGAAAATAGTTGAACGAATAAAATATAATTTCTACTAATGCATGCGACAATTAGATATTCCATTATGTGGTGCAGAATAGAAGTGAAAACAAGGTTTTGTGGATTCCCTAAGCTTTGTAAAAGACGTGAACACTGATATGTAAATTAATTATGTACTTTATATAAAAAATGAGAGTAACATCTAACTATAAGATTTTGCAGGTAGAATATGCCAAATTAAGTTACAATATAAAAGTATGTAGCTAAAACATTAATTTGCAATGTAGGCTACACACAGACTGAAACGATATATATCAAGAGCGGAAGAAGCATTTTCATCTTCCGACCATCATTATAGAAGCAATACTACCAAAAATATTGCAAAATATGTTAACAAAGAGTACATAACAAAATGGGATTATTGTTTTGCATAACAATTTTAAGCATAATAACTTTCAATCCTAAATGGATATTACAAGAATTGATGTGCAACATGTGCACATAAGGCCAAAATTCAGAATTGTTCCTGAAATTTTATTGCTGATGCGGCTTATCATTAATTAAACTTTCAAGTAAATTTCTGATGCTTGAGTACTAGAATAAAATGTTGTTTCGACAAGATGAATATTTGATGAACTGAAAGTAGATAGATTCTTACCCGGTCGAGATTCCAAGTTCAACCCGGCATGGAGGGCAAATAGGTTGAAAAGATATAATTTTTTTTTCTGCAATTTGTCGACTGACATGACTTATTATTTCTTTCAAAGACTCATCTAATTGCTGTAACAAAAAAAAGATGATTTTAATGTGAAATACTATTTGTTAACATGTCGTGATAACTAACTTCTTGATATAAAAGGTGATAAAAGGTTAGGTCGAATCAAAAGTTCACCATATGGCTGATGACAGTTGTAGTCATGAACAAAAGTCTTTAACATGTGGTATTTTAATTACAATCTTGCTTTAGGTAACGGTGCGAGTGTTAGCTTTCTAACATCTGTGGTGTATCCGAGGTGTATCACTGTAGCATCAATTTTTATTGTACTAAAATAAATTGTTGTCTTTAACATTTTATCGCAGATCTAGGGATTTTTCTAACATCGATATCTCGAAAATATCAACTAAATATATCCCGGCAGTTTGCCACACTTTCTCGTGGGCGTGGATTGCCGCGATATTTCATTTCCATGGGGATTTGGAGGCGATGAATGCGTATCCAATTAAGTGTACCGAAATAAATCATACAGTTTGAGTTTTTATTGCAGATCTTGGGATATTTCTTACAGCGATATCTCGCAACAGCGTGATACCATGAACACAAGTAAATTGATACGATAACACACTTAAAATGCTCGTATCGACCATGGATTGAATACTTTACATAACAGAAAAATCCGTATCCGCCGAAAAATTCGTTCTTTTTCATGAGAGGCCTAATTGCGGCGACTGTTACATGGAAATTTCCAGATATCGATCTCCCCCCTCCTGGATGCGCTCCTGAACGTATGTATTTCAACATACGTCCTATCGAACCTTACTTTATGACATTTTGTGTAGAGATCATATGCAAAATCCCTGTTAATCATGCCTCAGACAAGTATTTTGCAAGCCTTCGGAAACAGAAATTATGAAGGAATCCATTCTGTGACAATTAATCTATTTTTAAAATGTAGGCATTTTTTGGCATGCAGGTATATCCGTCACATCCGTTCTAGACATAACTTGTGCAAAGTGTACTAGATCAATGTTCCCAACTTCTTTTTCAAGCGACCCATAAATGGGCTATTCCAAGTGACTTTACAGAACAATTCCAGAAATTTTGCCTGTTGTGAGATGCAATATAGAGATGCAATATATTTTTACATTCAGAGCAACATATTTTGTTTGATTGTCCAATGATTTGCCTTATGTGGGTTGAACAAAACTGCACTGAAGTTACAAAGAAGACTTACCTAGTAGATATGAAATATATAGTAAAATATAGGGTGACACTACGGGACGGCAAGTATTAACGTTTCATTGCGTTGTGCACTAATTTTCGTGCTGGTACAGCAAAGGCCCTCAATATCTTCTGTTGCAGTAGCTAAGGATCTTTCCTGCAAACACACTTTTCACGCTGTTCTGCAGTAACTTTACCAACTTCACTTTATCGACATTGCTTAAACCTTCCACTGCTAATCTAATATTTTTATGAGTCATACATAGACAAGATGTGAAAGAAATGCTTTTACCTGTAATTACGGTATGTGTGGGACCACAGAAAGTAGACAAAGCAATTTTGCTGTTTGGGTTCTCAACTTTAATAAATGTCTTGAATGATTCTGACAGCTTATACTTCAGATATCTTTTTTGCATTTCGACCATTCACCTTGGCTGAAGTAAAATCCTTATGCCTTGGCATTGAAAATATGATTTGGTCATCACTAAGAAACTGCAATACTCATCCAACAATATCTTGGCCTACTGCGTTTCCTTGATTTCTTTGCATTGCTTGTATGGGAATATGATTGCCATCACTATCCGATAAGTTTTCGCAAAAGACTTCCCTCGTTCCTGTGATGTGGATGGCAATGTTATTGGCCGTTTATGACCTTTAACTTGGCACTCCTGTAACCAAAACAGAATTCCGGAGGTATTTCTGGTTGCTTATCAGCACTTTTCGCCCTACTCTGTTTACGTCTCCTGTCTCTCTTCGTTTTTATGTTTCTTTGTTTACCTTGTTCTAATAGAGACTATGGCTACTACTATTTTCAACTAAAGACCGAGTAAACCCAGTGGCTAACCCAGCGATACATTTGTGCAAGATACGACACCACCAGATGGACCTATAAAATATGGCTCTCCCAAAATGCTGTTATACTGGTAGAAGCATTCCATTATGGCTGTTCTAATGTTCTAAACACTGCAGTCTGTTTCCATGTCACACATCTTTTTGTAAAATACTGAAGTCTTATATTGTAATACCAGAAAATAGGTATATTTTTGTGACCCTACGAGACAATTTTCAATGGTACTATTCAAGTCCAGAAAAATATGACCAGATTAGTGGAAAAAACTATTCCAACAGAAAATCTGTCTTTGTTTTCCATCGAGTTTTTGAATCGTGGCGTGAGTTTATTCAAGTCAAATAGCTATTGCCAAGATTTTACGCTGCGATATTTCCCAAAATATACAATCTATGAGCAACACTATGATACCGAATATAAAATAATCAATAATTTTCACCACTTTGTTGAAAAAACGTGGAACTTAAGTAGATTTTTAGGTGACCCAGTTTTGAGTTGTGAACAATAGGTTGGAAAACACTGTCCTAGATTATTTCTTCATTTTCGTAAAAGAAATGGGTTTCGTTTTTGGGCTCCAGAAGTGTGTGTACCAATATGGAGGTAACTAAATTTGTTCGCCCATTTCACATCAAGTTGTGTAAAGCAGGGGTGTCAAACTCGAGGGTATTCGAGGGCTGCATTGCATTTTGGGAATTGTCCCATGGGCCGCAAACAGTTTTTGACATATTTTGATAAAGTATACATAAAGCATATTTTTAGATAGGTGTAGTTTGTGACACATATTGTGATCTAATTAAACAGACAAATAAAATAATGTTATTTTCCTAAATTTCAAATGCCATTTACATATTAATTTCTTGCATTTCACTATTATTGCAAGTCACTGTAGTTATTACAAAAAATCATAAATTTTTATATACAACTATCAAAAACATTTTTGAACAAACTTTTGATACGAAAAGAATAATACATACACTACAAATGACTCATAGACCTAAAATTTACAAAAATGCAGAAAAAACTTAAGGTTTTTTATCACATTTGTCCTGACATTTGACATTTCTTTTGGGCCACCTGCTTACTAATATCAGGCTGAAAAGATTTACAGTACCAACTCATATTACCGAGGTCACATGATCATCGGTTAATTTGTGCAGTGCCTGATATATCACACATTTCATCAATTGCTAAGGAAAAATGTAGTCGGAAGAAGTAAATTTTATTTGTTTTTTTAAATTTGCAGACATCTTGTCAAGTCCAGTAGCAACTGTATTTCTTGTCAGCGATAAATATTTGAAATTTGAAAAGCTTCAACTGTTTTTACAGGGCAATTGATCATGAAAGCTCTATCAGTATACGGTACTTTCCGTTTCTTCTTAATCACTAAAGTTTTTTTTTCAAGTATTTTTTCGCTAGCTTGAGGTGTATCCATAATCGGGTCAAAACAAGAACAAAAAAATTAGTAATTTCTTACTACTTTATGTACTACTTTATGTAAATTGTCGTTTACTGTGTGGATAATCAATTTCAATTTGAGAAGTTTGAAAATGTATTACATTTGAATAAAAAAAATTACAGAATATTACAAGTATTGTCAAGCGTTAGAGGGCCGTATTGGAAGTTCCCTGGGGCCGCGAGTTTGACACCCCTGGTGTAGAGGGACTCAAATCTATGGGTAGAGGGTATATTCACTTGGCTAACACAGACAGTCCTCGAACTCGTAATAGAACTAAAATAGAAAAAATCGGAATAAAATTATGGCCTAACCCTAACCTGGTACACACACTACGAAAGTACCCTGTTTTTTTTTAGATCAACTGCATATAAATGAAGATGAAAAAACATACCTAAGGTGATTTTCAAACAAAATCGGACAAGTTTGTACTTACAACATGATTGCATTCAATTTGAGCAGCTTGTCTGTGCATACTTGTAAGAATTTCTAAGTCATTTTGTAATGATTGTAGTTGTTTATCAACGGCATGTCTTCCCGGTACAGTGTTCCCTGGAATAAAAATACACAGAAGAATATAAATTCTAACCTTTGGAACAGACGCTTAAAATCTTTACGACATGGTAGTGGAATGCTGAAAGTGTTTTCTGCTTGGCCAGTAGATTTGGTATATTAATGAAGAAAATGAACATTCGAAAACATTTTGTAGTGTTGGGTAAATAAGTTATGGATGTATAAAGAAATACAATTAATATAAAATATTTATGATGATCTTCTTATAAAAAATTATTGTTCAAACCAATCTTCCTATATTACACAAAGGAACATTAGATATTCTAAAACAAAAAAATGAGGAGTCAAATTCATTCGAAGAAAGATCAAACGCTTTTTATATGAACTACAACATAACGAGATCTTCTGTAATATGTCGCAAACTGTAAATGTATCTTTCTGAAATGACATGCATAAATTAGTAATAATATTCAATATACCGCATTGCAAATTTAAAAGTCGCAATATCTTCGCCCATTTTTTGTATTTCATAGTCGGTTGCACAATAGTTGTACAATGCTCGTACATGATCCTCCAATAGTTGTCCATGATGCATAATCATTTTGTATTATTTTGCAGGCGTACAAAATGTGTTCCACTAAGTGGACCAAATGCAAAATCCGACCTTGCCATATCGTATTAATAAAATAATAAATGTAATATCATACCTTTTAAATGCTCCACATCCTCAAGTGGAAACTTCCACAGAAATTTGTATTTATTTGAATAGTCAACCCCCATAGACCTACAATGATGAAAAATAATAAATATATCAAAAACTGAATAGTGTAAGCAAAATTGCATATCATGTTTATGAATCATAATAAAAAATCGTTTTTATGGGCTTTGAAGGACATATAGTTAAAATGTGGGATCAGAAAAACATTGAAGCATTAACCTTGAGGCCACAAAATTAAAACGTTTTGTTTGATCTATACAAACAAAAATTGCCCTAAGGCACAAGGAAGAAAAGACGTATGTGAACATTCTTCAAATACCTTGAATCATTCAAAATTAATAAATCCTGATAAATAGGATGAAAGCAACTTGATGCTGGTCAAATTCTAACAGAGCATATATTCATTAAATTTAGGGCAGGCAGTATTAACAAAAAAATTTTTTACTTGCACAATACGATATTTTGGCAATATGTCTATATTTTCGGTTGTTTTTATGACATAACCTTTGCCTCATATTAGTGTTTTGGTAATCTTTGGCAGTAGCATCACTGCATTCCATTAATTTTGAGTATTCCAATAAACAAAAAATACAAGTACAATTCAACTCAATAAGTTGAAGATTGTTCGACGAGTGGTATCTTCCCAGTTCCGGATGTGGTATGTTTGTTATAAGGTAGAGGTTAAAAAGAATATTATAAAATTTACTCTACGTGACGAGAACTCATGCCAGAGTTTCTTCATTTCTATCTGGACTTCTATTTCCACAATAATTGTTGGAGTTTTATGAAGGCTTAAAGCAACCACATTCCCTTGAAACTTGATGACATGTTCCAAGTAATTTACAGATGCTTTATATCTAAGGTTAATTTCCAAATCTTTGATACACCATAGTTTGAAGATCTAAATTATGGCAAAATTTATGTTAATAAAATTTACTTACAAATTTAGCATGGAACCTCTTCTGAAAGTGCTGCCAGCCCGCCCCTTGCGCGTGGTACAGACGATGAGATCACTGAATAGCCACAAACTTCTATCTTTTTTATTTGCCCCTTTCTGTAGATTATTGTCAAGAATAAAGGTCAATAGCATTAAAACCACTACAATATACTAAAAATATTTCCATCAAGCATAATCTCTGAGCTGAGTTACAACGAAAGCTGTACTCATAAACAGATCATTTTTGACTGAAAGAGAATCACATTAAAAAACTTACAATTTCCGAAATGATGTCCTGCCGCATGAATCTTCGTTTAGGAATACAGAGCTGAAATACAAAAAAATAAAATTATTTCAGAATAATTGAACAGTATGCCGCAATCAATACATTTTTCTATTCTTCCACTAACTCGTCAGTTGTGCCTTACAGATAATAATTCACTCACGTCAACACAGCCTTCAACAAGCTGCTCAATTTCCAGGAGAAGACGATCATGTTTCTCTGCCATTTCCGCCTCTTTTTCACTCACATTCATCTGAACAGCAAGAGTATGAATCTCCTTCTGGGCGATCAGAAGACCATCTCGATCCGGATGGCCATCAGGTGTATGTTTCAGCATGTCCTAAAGTTATGAAAAATAAATATCTCATTAACACAAAAACAGATGTAAAATAAAGCAGTATACAGCAGTTAGAAAGCCTGAGATGGAGAGCCAGTCGTAATCGCAGATTTAGATTTATGATTACAACAAACCAAATTAAATCAGAAAACTTAACAACAGTTTACTAGCTAGAGTTGAATCATGAAATATTAATTTTTCTCATAAATATCAGGTTTATCATTTAGTGTTTTTCAATATTCTATTTTAATGAAATGTACAAATCATCAAAAACCTGCTGCATTTAACCTGTATAAATACAATTGAGACACAATTCACAAACTCAACTACCAGAAGGCACGCATCATGCTCGCTTGCCTATGGTAAATCTGATCTGAATATAAAGTCAATGCTAGAACTTTTCAAGCAATCCCTTTTAATAACAAACATTCACATCCTCAGACATTAAAATTCATGTATGACGTACAGAAGTAGCCTATGATTTACACGAGAATTGGGATTGATTTATATAGCATGTCATCCCAAAATAATGATAATCTTGAAATACGAAATAGTCAGAAAGGAATGGGACTTACAAAATGTTAGGTTTGCTTAAAAACACAACTATGTCTAAGCTAAAATGGTCTTCTCACGTTTCTCTTCCATATACAATATGTAATTGTAATTGTAAAATTGTAGCCCAAGGTCACTGAAGACATACAATAATACCTTCCTGTTGATAGAACTCTCACCACCACATTGTTTTATCCGTCATAGAATAATAGGTATGTATAATAGTTATAACTTAACTTAAAACTAACTGTTATAACTTAACCTTGATATGACCTTGTGTAAATGCAGTAATTTTTGTTTCAACAACAAGGCCAAAATACACTATTATTCTTATCAATGAGTTTCCCCAGCGATTCAAACTTGAGTGGAGGTTCAGTATATCTAACATTTTTCTGATATGTAACAGCGATCAGCAATATTGAGTTTAAAGAATGCAGTTTTAATGCATCATCCCGTTGCGTATGCTACCAGCTCATAATTTTCAGTGCACTGCAGTAGAAATATGGGGTTCTGCATCAGTGGTTTTGATCAATTGCTTCTGGATTCAAGATTGATGGATTGGATATCATTTTGTCATTTGAGTTCATTTCTACTTTTATATAAGAACCAAGGATGCTATTTTATGCATAGCATACTTCATCTGTGAAGAAACTATGTGGCAAAATAGATACAGTAGAAACTTTACCTACAAAAAATCCAACTTCTAAAAAATATAAAATATTGATTCGACGGCACTCCAGAAGTATGTGTACCAATATTGAGGATACTAATTTTGTTTGTATGTATGTATGTTTATTCGTCTCGTAAAAACAATATAAAAGAGTAATTATCAACATTGAAGACGGGACGTATACACAAGACCATACTGACCTAACAAAACACATGAAGTTTGGCATACACCATACACCCCTTATGATAAGCAGAAAATGCAATAAATCAAATAAGTATATGTTCCTTCATACAGACAGTTGTGCAAGGAGGGTGGATGGGTTTGGCAACAGGGGTGCAAGGGTGGAGTATGCAAAACTGTTTGTACGAAGAAGTTCGTAAGACAAAACAACATCAATAAATAGAGACAATACAACATGAAATATACTGCATGTAAACATAATAATAAAATTTGGACATAGACTAAATATAGCACCCTTGAGTGATGATACCACATACTATGAATGGTAGAAATAGTTTATGAGAGTATGTGCATATATGGTATGTACCACTCAAGGGTGAATGTCTTAAGTAATATATGTCTAATCTAGCAAAAATGCCTTTTCACATCAAGTTGAGTAAAGGGACGAAGCCTATGGGCTTGGGGTATATTCTCTTGGCTGATACAAACAGTTCCTGAACTCGTAATAGATCTAACATAAGAAAAATCGAAATAAAATTATGGCCTAACCCTAACCTGGTACACATACTACGGGAGTACCGATTCGACTAGCGTAAGATTTTCTACATACGAAAGGCCGAAAACCGAAATCTTAAAAAACGTGTGTAGTGATATTTGCTTATTTTAGGTTAATTTAATGCAGGGATGTGCAATATAAATTTAATGTTCGAAAATCGCGACCTTCGAATATCGTTTTTTCGTGTTTATAAGAATACCGAAATTGGCGCACATATCCAAGCGCATTAAAAACATTTTACAATTATTTCATTTTCTTCTCGCAATCGAAGGCAGCCGGGTGCGATGCCATAATAAGCGCCGACTTGAAGTGCTTATAAGAAGTCGAGGATGAATTTAATTGAAAATACAATTATTATCGTATATTTCAATTTAGTCGAGATAGTGTGTGCGACCTAGGAAATAAATCTAAAAGCAAATTGTATCGTAATTAATTGTTTTCGTCCTCAGTTTGTGAGTGACCGAACAATTTTGTCATTAATAAGCATATAAAATAGCTCTTAAATCATTTAGTATCTATCACAGATTTTATCATTATCCCGACGTTGTTGATGACAATATCGTTCAGATTGAGTTGGCGGTTCTAATTTATAAGTAGGGATGCCACTTTTGGATTTACGAATCGGATTGATTCGAATCGCATCTTTTCCGAATCGATTCGAATCAGATTTGCGCGATTCGGAAAGAGAGCGATTTACCGAAAACAAAAATTCAACGTTTGTTAATCATTGTTTTCGGCGGCTTCAAATCTGCCGAATGCGTTTATTCGGCACTTCAAATAACACCAAACTACGGGACCTACAAAAAACATTGAACGTTTGTTAATCGATGTTTTTGGCGGCGTTAAAACTGCCGAATGCGTTTATGCCGCACTCCAAATAACACCAAATTACGGGACGGAAATAAATAGGATAGGATTTACATATTTATCCCCGGGGAGAGGAAAGCCGATAATACGGCCTAATCATATGGCGAACCACAGTCTCTGGTCCGGTTACCAGCCCAGGTCGGGTATGGGATTAGTTAGCTAGTTATTCGTTTTCCGAAGCATGGACTTGCTGGTGGAGGAAGCCGTTACCGACCAGGGGTTACGTGAACCACCCTATACGGCGGCGAGGAGTCCAGCAATCCTCTCGCACATGATCATCCCCGCATGGGATTCGAATGAAAATGAATTTTTCGTGATTGACTTCTTTACTTATCTGCCGTCATTTGTTTCAAGTTCGGCACAACAAACTCTTTTACGCATCACTCGAGATGATGTGTGGCGTAATTTCCACCAAACTGCGAGTTCAGTTTTGCACGGAATAGCCTAAATTTCTATTATGCGCGAATTTAAATGGATCGTATACCTGAAAATTCGTGACAATTTTGATGAAATTTTTCGACAGCACACCTGCGCCGCGACTAAGTTATTGTACGCCCTGGCCTGATTGGATAAAGAATCAGCTACCGACGTCAAGATAATATTTAATTTTGATTGAAATTTAATTTAAACTTTGTTCTGAGTGAAATATTTCGCATTTGAAGAGAACTATTACTGAATGAGTTAATCGGCCGACAATGTTAATTGGCAATCATGTTTCTCATCCTAAAATATATATTTATTTTGTTTGCGTTTGTCAGGCTTACAAAATCAGGGGAACATAATGTAATAGTACATATACGTCTTTTTTCAGCTGTTACAAAAAAAAGTATTTACTTTGAATTTTGTTAGCGCGATACAAGCGGGAAAAAACATTTCGGATTATTTCTAGCAAATGTCATAACGGACAGGCGGGAGTAAATAATACTTGAGGAATGGCAACTTGTGCACTGTTTTACATCAACACGTGCCAGATTTCATACCAGACCAAACATACTGTGCGAATGTCGTCTTACTTTAGCCCCAGCGACCATGTTTGATCGAGATACATCGTCGACCAAATATCGCTCGTCAGCGCGGCGTTCGTTATGCACATTTGGACTTTCTGAATTACGATTTTAAACGTAGTCCACGATAAATAATGAAGTCCGAGTTACCCAATAACGCTGTTAGCCACAAATAATATCGTCTCTAATTTTTATGGAAATTTTTATTTGCAATCGTAGTCGGGTAAACGATTTTTTTTTCTCGAAATTAATTCAATTTAATTGTGGTTAATTTTATCGTCTTCAAGCATATTCTTGCAAGCATTTGCCATTTATAGTAATTCAGATGCAATTAGAATGTTTCTGTCGTATTACTCTATGCTGCTAGCATAAATATAAAATATTGGACTAAAATTTTGAAGATAAAAAATCGGTAATAAGGCCGGCCTTAATTCAATATAACAAGAAGTGAAATACCACAGACACATATACTGGTGTGGGACTTGGGAAAGCAGTGCTGTTACTGTGTTTATGACATAACAGTACAACTGTTCCCTGCTTATTTTCTGACATGAATTCCATCAAATTGCCTCAGTCCTGATACAAGTATAATACAATAATAACTCAGTATTGTAAGACTCACAGATAAGTTGCAACAGCAAGTTTTTCATCAATGCATTTATTGGTGATATTTAGGACCTACATATTTTTTATCATGATGGAAATAAGTGTGGCTCACCACTGGCTCATTCACTGAAAAACCCTTATCATTCTTGCTATATAGTGCATTACATTTTCAATTTTTTCTCTTCTAGATTTGAGCTTTTTTGTGACTTTGAGCAAACATACGCATGCAATAAAAAAAAAGCCTAATGGAATCAGATTCGGAAAGATTTAATTCGAAAACTTTTGATTCAAGATTTGATTCGAAAAAAAAATGTATCCAGAAGTGGCAACCCTATTTATAAGCAAAAATAAAATCATAATAGCCGACTTGAAATATCTAAATCAGCGCCGATTCGGAGAATAAAACACGTTTTCCAGTTTTAATTTTCCATCATTGGTGGATGGAAATTTGGTAATCGGGTTCACTAATTTGATTATGATGATGGTAAACAAAGGTACCGTTCGCATTTTTTATTCGTTGTTTCTCTGTTTTTTCTTCTTTCCAAGTGTACCCTTTCTATTTATAATGCAGTATTCTAATTCTAACATGTATTTGTGACAGGTTTTAACCATTGTTATAATCTATACAAATATCATGTCCGAGTTTTGTGTGAGCTTGGAACGGATTAGGGCATTTACAGGTAAAATGCGTCCCTACTAACAGAATTTTCTACCTACGAACAGGCTTCTGGAACGAATTAATTTCGTAGGTAGAGTTTCTACTGTACTATGAAACCCCAGATTAAGAAAATGAGTAGCACTGATTGTTTGCACTATAACAACTGCTGAATACATTCTGATGTTTTTAATTGTGTCATGTTCAAAAGAGAACACATAGAAGTCTAGAGGATGTGTAAGCCAATGAATGGAAATAATTTAAATTAGCAGTAGTAAAGTAAAGGAATAAATAGGAAATTCATATACGAGCCAAACTTGTTAAAGTACTATTTCATGCATATTTTTAACATATTATTTTCACTGAAGGTGAAAGACAAAGCGTTTGATTCAGGCCCAACAGCTGGATATATTAGGTAGCGTAGTTTCATACTGGAAAGAAACATAGAAATATTATTAATCAAACTAACCTTTATTAACAATTCATATCTTGGTATCCGCTGTACTGGCTTGATCATCAGATCTGCCAGCCCCTGTTTTTCTTTGTTTTCGCTTCGACATTGCTGAAAAAAAAATTGGTTGTAAAATACTTGTAATCAGTTATTTCGTTTTCATGTTATGGATTCAAAACATAAAAAAGTGACCAGGGCATGATTAAACATATCTTGTCACCAACAACATTGAAAAAAGTACATTATTATTTTCAGTTGAATATGTTTAAAAATTAAAGTATATATCAAACATCTTTACTCCGATTTAGTGCAGCTCTTATCATGTCACTAGTGATCATGATATCCTAAAATGGCAATTCAAATTTATCCCAATGGAGGATTTCGAGGCTGCCCCATGTCCGAACAAAGATATTTAGTACAAGCTTGAGCTACTATGTTGATATTTGAGCCCTAAGTATAAATTAAAACAATGAACTTTTTTGCAGTTATTTGAATTCAACAATTAATAGCGTTCAATAGATAGAGAGTGCATAAGGAAATATGAAGAAAATGATATTAGGAAACTCAGACAAAAGAGATTTTCTCTACAACATACCAATTCTGATAACAAGTTGCAACATATTGTGATACAATATTCATTGAACTCTACTTATGCTATGTTTATGTAGTTACATCATATCTTAAGCCACAGAACATGGCTGATGCAGTGTTTCTGATGATTGGTCAAGCTTGTAAGTTGTAGCATACTATAATTTCACATTGTCTACAATAAAGAAATATTGTTTGTTACGATAGTTTTTTAAGGTGAGTTTTTCCTGCAGAGGATCGAAAGTAATCTGAAGATACAACGCTTGTAATAAGCCAAAGGACAATCATTTATTTATAATTATTGAAAGGACTAGTGAGCCAATGCCATTCTTTCAGGCCAAAAAACTATTTATACTAATACTTTCTCAGTCTACTGTCTGGCACATTTCATAACCAATTTGTCATTCAAGTCAATATTTTTCCTTTCTAAATATGCTTCCCAAATTTAGGATCTAAACATTTCAACAATCTGCCAATTTCTCCTCTGTCCCTTAAACAACGAAATTACAATGCTTTTGAAAAATATATTCAATTTTGAACGCCGATCTCGTACCCTGGTCAGTGCGTCCCTTGTGAGGTCAAGAATCCCGGTTGGGTATAGCAACAAATAACAGGTTAATCGGTTCAGGTTCAGGTATAAGAAACGACCAGCAAAGACAAAAAGTCTAGCAATTCTCTGGCACTCAATTATCCGCCACGGTCAACACGCGTGTAATCAGCGCTACCGTGTTTCAAGGATTAGCAAAATACGTTAAATTATCGCGTGGTATTTCGCACGATACGGGGACAATACGAAAGATATCTAGAGTTCATTTAACGCAATTCATGCAAACATAGATATCCTCTGCAAAAAAGAGCGTCACCAACCATCATGAAACTACATTTGAGAGTACTGAAAAATATACTAAGTACGGTACACGGCGAGGCGCTTAATTCAAAATTGTGGCATTGAATAAAACAAATCCTAATCATGATTTTAAAACCTATTGTTAACTTGCACTAAATTCGAAGTGAAGAAAAAATTTAGGTTTTTTAACCTTTTTCCAACTTACAATACAATATAATAAGTTTTTGTGCCTGTCACAATTTTTCAAAATTATTGAACCTTTTCTACACCGTCAGTAGCTCGGCAACGTTATTCTATTCTTCTGAGTAAAAAAACATGCAAACAGTACCTAAATTCCACAACATCATCAAAAGACATGTTGACAACATACTGGCCATGCATGTTTATCTCAAATTTCAATTATCAGCACTATGGACTCCATGCAAGGAGCGGGGATTACATGACAGTTAGACACACGAGAATACAACAAGTAGCACTTTTACGTTCTACAAAAACGGACAAATCTGATGAAATATCTTTGTTCTTGTCAGGCCATTGGTGCAACTTTGTTTCACTTACGAACTACGGCGAAGTTACGATGCCCATGTTCACAGAAAAAACACTAGAGTTGAATAAAGATCGAGAGAGGCCCCTGACGAAATTTTTTTAACGCGATACCTTAGAAACTACTATAACTAAATAGGATGTATTGAAGGGAACGGCAATGTCATTTCAATTCCGCTTCACACAGAAAGTCCTATTATAAATTTCGCTTGAATATCAAAAGTAATTAGTAGGTGAATGAAGCAGAAGCCTTTAGGATGTAAACCCTCAAAAACGAAATCCTCAAAAATTGAAACATATGCAAGATTGGGCAAATCTTGAACTTGCGTGAATAATTTGCACAACATACATAAAAGATCGAGCTTACTCTTGCTATTTTTAGGGAGGGTTAATCGGATGCGAACCAATGGTGCATTTTTGCTATGTGGATAACATCGATCATAATTTTAGTGTTCTCCCAGGTTTCAGCTCAATTCCTGGGTAACATGATAGATCAGGTATGGCTTACTTTAAAGCGCATTTATCGGCAGCAAACGCTAGGCCAAATGAAGATATATCAATTGCTTTGCTCAAACTGCGCGTGAATGATCGATCGGTCAAATTCATGCGATACATATTCACAACCAGAATGTCTTACCGCAAAAATAACTTTTCGAAATGTATATAATATTCGGAACTATATATTGGCATATCTTAAGTTTAATATATTTGATTCAGTAAAGTAAAATGAAGGGATTTTCTGTACAAATACCCGAAAGACCCGAAAAGACGAAAAGCAGGCACGACATGTAAAATTTGATGCACACGTGGGGAGGGGCGAAAATGGCGTTTCCGTTTCACTATACACGCCTGTGAAAACTTGAAATTTGTTAAAAATGTATCGATTATCGCATCAATATAAAAAGAGCAAGTCTTTAAATAAAAACGTGAACGTTCATTGAAATAAAAAAAATATCAAGAAGTGATACATCTCTAGAATACAATATAGATTTTATTTTATTTATTGCATTGCATCTCAAAAAGCTCTATCGAATAATTTCTGCGCCATTGAACCCTCTTCACTCAGCATCAAGTTTTCTGCGTGTTGCCGTTTGTCTTATTATAATTAGATTGTAGGCTTGTTAAACGAGTAGTCGTTCACTAAATTGTTAGGTTATAATATAATTTAATCTATGTCTCACAATATTAATATGTCTTAATAAGTCTCACAATAAATTCTGTTACATAAAGAATATAATCAACTCCTCTAGCGTGGATTATAAAATTTCTTCATCGTCAAAACCGCCGTTCTGTCGCTATAATTCAGTGAAGCGTCGCGGGCGGGATTATTTTACTCCGCGGGGCGGATCTGGCCCGCGGGCCGTTGGTTGCCGACCCCTGACTTAGATAAATAGTCTGTCTGACAGCGCAATATGAAGCATGTATTGCCACAAACTAAAAAGTGATGATAAGATTCAGCCGGAACGGTAATAAAATTGGAATACCAATAGATTACAATCATTCCGAAGTGTTCGATGTAAGTCATAAAAATATTCAAATGTTGAACAGATGAATGAAATCATACGTGACAAGTTTGTAACATACTTCAGTCATGCTAATCGAACAATATTTTAAATGGCTTTGATGTCATTTATTAAAGGAGCGAAACATACCGAGTTTTTTTTTTTGCGAACTATCTAATATGCTAGATTCTATGTTTCACGAGACGGTAAGTCAGGGTATTACATATGAGAAATGATATTTTTGCCTTGAATTTCAAGAAGTAACTGGCTATCTCATACAAAAGTTATCTGCTGAATATGTGAGTTTCAGGTAACAGAGCTCATTTATCATCCTGCTCACACCTGTTCTTTGCTTAAATTTAAAAATGTAACAAACTCCTATATAATGTGACCTTTACTTGAAAATGCTATTAAAAAAATTCATGAAAAGACAATATATATGGGTAAATACCTCTATAAAACGCCTGAAAGCTTCTTTTGATTTGGCAGTCCGCACTGCTTCTCTCGCGTTCAAATAATTGGTGATATATGATGTGTATGTGTCTAGTAGTGCATCTTTATTGAACTGTAAAATAAAAATTCGTTGATATCACTATTTTCATTGAATCCAATTTATCAAACCGAAAAGCACAGTTTCATTATCTATCAGGTAGTGACAAAGACATTCACTTTCTAGCATACACTCAAGTATAATGTCACTGTTCTTATTAAAATGCTGACTTTTAACTAACGCCGAAGACCCAAAACTTTGTCTCCGGGCGACGATTTTGTAATTTGATATAGATTCCAGAATGTGTTTCCCAATGAATGAGTCGCGACAAAAGAAGAAACATGGATACAGAAAAAAGATTTTTAGGAATTCCTTCCCAGAATAGGAATGCGGTATTTTCCTGCTTTTCCGTCAGATTTTCCCTCGCCGCTCCCACGTACCAATCTTACATATCAACGGGATATTTTTATATAGAATATGAGTCCATTTAATGATGTCCTGAGAAATGACTACATAGAACAGTCATGTACATATGTACAAGTATGGGATCCTAACTACCGAGACAACATAACCAGTGGCGCAGCCAGGGTCGACCCCCCCCCCTCTTTTGAAATTTTTTGAAAACCGAAAAAGTCGCCGATAACGCGTGCAATTGCCTTCTGCTAAAATCGCCGATTGTTTTCATCAGCGTGTCATTTCGCCTTTGCGTTGGTGTTTATTCCCCACAAATCACAAATTTGTGCCAGGATAAACATGATAATTATTTTGTTTTTGTACTCGCACGGAATTGTGAATTTGGTCAGAGTTATTATACGTTCATCGGCGGCGAGGTTCTAGACCAGGGGTGGGCAACTTTTTCCGGCTCGCGTGCCAAAATCGACTAAATTTAATGACAAAAATCTGCCGCGTGCCGACCAAACTTGTCGAGAGCTCACTCAGTTGTGACGTCATAATATATTTCTTTGAAGCCATATGTCATGAAGGGACAAAAAGAATTTAAATAAATAACGGATTGTTAACAAACAATAATGATTAAACGGACGCAGAGTTTCAACAGATAATTCAGAGTCTTGAAACTTTTTATCTGAAGAAAAATGATTTCGTTTCTGAAAACTTGCTCGCGTGCCGAATAAATGTGCTCGCGTGCCAAGTTCGGCACGCGTGCCAGGGGTTGCCCACCCCTGTTATAGACAAATGAAGGAGTAAATCCGCGATCTAAATTTTTTGATTGAAAAGCGGCAATATAAAATACTAAAAATAAAACCGTTAACAATATAAGCTTTGTTGAGTTCCGCGACAGTCTAAAAACGCTTTTCTAGTCATTAAAAATCGTAAAATTCCGTATGCTCAAGGCACACATTACCTTTGGTCGCCGTTTAGAAACATACCGTCACTACACGGTTGTTACATACCGTCGAAACACGGTTATTTGTGAGTGGGATTTGCCTTTTTTTGTCCATTACTTTAAGATTGTGGTCAAAAATTTTCGTGTTACATTAAACAAGGTTGGAAACGAGATTTTTCCCGGTTTGTGATGATATATTAGATAACTAATCTGAAGTATATCGATCAATTTTTATTGTACCCAAATGAATTTTACTCCATGAGAATTTACAGCAGGTTAACGAATTTTTCGAAAGGTTTTATCTTTAAAAATAATCGGAGTGGCAGCATTGCCACTGAACGGAGTCAGTGTTACAAGTACATCTCAAATTTGTAGAATTCTCAAAATAAAAAAAATACGGATCAAAACAATATTTAATCAGGCAGTTCACCACACATTTTTATGTCCGCAAAAGTCCGTGGTGTTTTAGAATGCCTCTTGTTTTGTCGACGCAACCGCAGGTTAAATTGAAGACAATTAAATTAATAAAGCAGGAGCAGGACATTTTAAAAATATGCCCTTATCGGTCATGAATTGATTACTTTGCACAAGAGAAAAATCATTTTTCGTTGAAAAAGTCGACTCTTTTAACAAGTGGCGTAATCGCGGCGACTGTTCGGCATGGATTTCGAGGCGGTGAATTTGTATTTTTGATTTACTGCTGTACTTTATGTCTGTTTAAATTAAATTAATAAAGCAGGACATTTTAAAAATATGCCTTTATCGGTCATGAATTGATTACTTTGCACAAGAGAGAAATCATTTTTTGTTGAAAAAGTCGGCTCTTTTAACAAGTGGCGTCGTAATCGCGGCGACTGTTCGGCGTGGATTTCGAGGCGGTGAATTTGTATTTTTGGATTTACTGCTATACTTTATGTCTGTTTTCTTCATATGAAGTAAAATTGTACTAAATGTGATTTTATATCAGATATCAAGATTTTACTAACGGCGATAACGAGGTCGCAAGATTGCAAAAATACGTATCAAAATTAAATACATCAGGGCAGCTTATCTCATATATTTATGTCTACAGATCGCCGTGGTATTTTATTGCAGTAACGTTTTAATTTTGACGTAAGAAGTCGAAACCGCTAGTTACGTTGGTTTACGCCTGATCGTGGTGACTGTTACTGGAAATTTCTGATTTTGACCCCAGCGTGAGATCATAGCTGTGGGAATAAAACGAAAGCGACGAAAATTAAACAATGCCGCAATGGATTGCTTGATTAACTACAGTATATTAAATACCTTCTTTACATTCCCTTTGGGAAACTGTAACCGCTGTGGCTTTGTTATTTTGACCCAGTCACGAATGAGGCGTCAAATATTACGACCAATTGTAATCCGCGAAAAATTTAATCAATAGAAAAATAGCTTCTTATTTTGATTCTGATTTATTTACTAGTTAGGAATTAAATATTGCTCAACGCGAGAGGGCGGCCATGGTCTCAGTGTCCTAGTGATTATGATCTACACGCATTGATTGCAGGTTTGTGGGCACGAAACCCGAATGAAAAAGACGACTGTTCTATGTTCTGTATATATGAATATTACATCTCTATTTATTTTCTGATCTTGCATATCAACCTGTAACTAAAAAAAAAAAATAAAAACACGCTAGACACAGAACTCTTATAAACAAAGTAAGCTAAAGGTTTTACGGAACACAGAACAGTGCAGAATTGAGAGCCAGTTCAACGTCCGAACCATACTGTTCAGTCCGAATTGAAACGAATGTCAACATGACTGGGATCACATCGTTGGCCAGACCCAGTCAGACGATCGCATAGTTGCCAAACACCCAATTTATATCTGCATCGGTAATCCGGCATCTTCGGCCGGAATCAAAACTCAAAAAGCCGTAGAAATATAACCAGATCTGGCAATGTTTCGCCATTAGTAGTGGAAGTTATTTGGTAAGTACAATACGTCTGAAAAAGAAAAATTATTTCAAGCATAGAGTTTCAAAATTAATGTGCATCGTACTTCCTCCGACAGGCAGGCCAAGAGAGGGATCTACAGCGATCGGAAAAATACACGATACGGTATGTTTTCGACCCCCACAGGTCAGGGCTGATATTTGCAAAGTTTCATTTTAAAATATTCAGTTCAACAAACATCACTTTTTCGAAATTCAATGTGTAGGTTAGGTGTTGAACACTATTATGAGTATGATGCCACTGTTACAAGTTCTGTAAGTAACTTTAGGAGCAGTGATGCATAGGAGAAAGTGGGAACCTAGTTCATTTATATCAGGGTCGTCCAACCCGTGGCCCGCGGAAGCATTTCGAGTGGCCCGCGCTGTCTTTTTCGAAATTAAAAAAAAAATTGAGTATAACTATTACTTGAGTGATGTAGTATGCAAAAATACAAATGATTTGTTTATTTTACTAAAATGCGCTCTGCCAGCCCTTTCAGACCAGCCATGAGTGCCATTTTGAATAGGAACCAACTAGGGGGAGATATCGATACATAAAAGTGCCATAGTCGCTACGTGCATACATAAAAGCGAGCTACTTCGTGGCAGAAATATTCGCAAAACAATCAAAGCCATTTTCAGATTGATTGATCGGGTTGCCAATATTTTATGTCCGGAAATAAGAGGCATTTGCAAAACTAGGCATGTCAAGACAGAAGGTTCTCGCCGTGTTGAAGAGCGAAGGCGCGAAAGTTTTCATCATATTCCTTGGCGCTGGACAATAGGGCTGTCCAAGCGAACCAAATATTCGAAATCGAATCGCAAATTATTCGAATCGTTTTTCGGGTAATTTTCGAATCGCTAATAGTAGGTACATAAAGCGGAAACCTGCGTCGCTTAGAGCTTAGACCACTCTCGCCGTCATTTTGTGATAAACATGTCATTCCTAATGCCCGCCCGGTGATTCCTTATGATGGCTATACTGTATTATCCATCTATTTACCAAGATAAAAAATAATTGCACACTTGCATCATTTTGATGGCCATTGTACCAAATAATATTGTCATCAAACTAGCTCCGAATTTGATAAATGCAATTTTGAATTTGAGCAACAGTTTTATCTATATTATTAATGATTGTTATCATTTTGCTGGAAATTACACAAAAAAACATAAAAATAATGATAATAGGATTAAAATAGCATCTACAGGCTTTACATGCCCAATTAAAACTTAATCTATTAGAATTGAAAGTGCAATTTTTACTCTTAATACTCAACAGTTTTCGAAACCCTAATTTTGGAGTTCTCCAATTTTTTTGACCAGTTCATACAAGCGTGTGATCTCCTTTCATAAATCTGAAAACATGGTATTGCAAAATACCAGCAGTAAGTCAGATGTAACTGCACATGCGTTACCACACCATTGAAGGGCAGTCGTTTATTGTATAATGAAGACAGATTTAGAATTGCGCAATAATATTCGATTATTCGGTTCGATTCGGCGAAAATATTCGATTCGAATCAAAAAATTATTCGATTTTGGACAGCCCTACTTGACAAAAACACTGACATGAAATCTTCTGCTAATCATGCGGGGAGTTAATGATGATTTCAAAATTACCGAAAAGCTCTCAGCCATTGTCCCAATTATGGGCACGACTCCAGGCATTGATTTGTTGTAGGCTGTGATGAAAATGATCAAAGGTCTTGGTTCGTCTTTGGCAAAACTTTCGGGAATAACCACTGATGGCGGCCAATCAGTGGCTGGGAAACAACAGTTTTATTGTAGTCATTGTGGCAACCTGTAGTCATTGTGGCAAAACTAAAACATAATTACCATGTTGAGTGGCCCGCGCCCTTAATAGTAAACTAAATGTGGCCCTTCAGCCAAAAAGGTTGGACAACCCTGATTTATATTAACAGCAATAGCTTCATATAATTAAATTCTGAATGAATGATCTAATTGAACATGAAGTTTCTTTATTAGGCAATCTTAATGTCTATAAAATAATTACGATTAAGAAATAATTACAGAAAAATAGCGAACAATGCTTGTGGTCAGACCACACGTACAGCGGGAACCAAGCATTCGATTGTAGATCTAAGAAGTATTGTCTTGTTTCATTTTATTTTCAAGAAGGTGCTCTGTCATGTGGTGTGCATAGTGGTAAATTTGCATGCATGCTTGCGCGTGTATAAATAATATTCATGACTGTGCTACTTTTCTGTCACTGCCATATTTCAACCTTCCTTAAATGCTTTGCGGAAACTGTCACAAAAGATACAAAATTAAAATAACGGTCGTATTTTTGCTCTCCTCTAATCAGCGACTATGATAATGCCTCTTTTAATGAGTTCATAACGATATTATTAATCTTATCCAGTCATTATCACTTCACAAATACAGTAGCCAGTGAATAGAAATTCCGAAGATAGAGCAATATTATCATACAGTGAATATACTGAATGTTACATATAGATCACCGCTGTTATCGAATCCATCTCAAGGGAATACTCACACGTAAGCATTTAATCACCACAGTGCAATACCGCATTGATACAAGAAATATAATAGTATCTCACTCTTGGTCTGTATGAAAGATGGCCAAGTTGATTTCATATTATAAAATGTACAATATTTCTCACTTATCAAATTGACATATTTTGCTTAAACATTTGTATAAAATAGAAATTTCAATTTGAATAAAATTGATAGTTATGGCCCATAACTTATGGCTATGGATGGGTATCATATTCTATTACAAATTTAGCTTTTAGTAAGTAAGATGTGTGTTAGATACATACACGCAAACATCGATGTCGAAATTCCTTGTCAGAATAACAAGAATTATTAATAACTAGAAATGTACTATTAGGAACAAAGATTACTACTTCAAGGTTATATCAATATTGTCTATTCTCAACAATATTGGTTGGATCGTAAAACAGAGAATTAGAAAATGCTATAAACCGGATAGAAATATTAAAAATGTCCTTCAGAAAAATGTACCGGTAAATCAAAAAGATTATTAGGAAGTCACCATCACTGTTTACGTTTTAATAGAAGTTCTTCAAAACTAAAAGTTTATGAATAAGCGACTTCATCAATGCTGAAGCTTTTTTGGCTCTTTCGAATTTTGCTGTTGCATTTATATAAATTCGAGAACATGTAATGATATATACATTCAAAATAGGCGTGAGTAACCCTGGCAGTTTCATTGACCCCAAAGGCTTCAATTTTATTAGAGGATTGGCTACTTTAGCCAGTGGTTATTTACTATGCATGACTATGTTTGACAAACAACATATAATAACTATGGTACTACGATGTTTTTTGATATACTGATACATCTTCAATTAATACGTTGGATTAGATATTGATCTTTTATAAATTACCTTCGCCGATAAACACACCCAAACAAACTGTTGTGGTAGGCTTTCTTGTAGATCTAAAAAGCATTACTATGCATACTTCTTCATTTCAACTTTATTGGTCGAAATATACAAATATCTTTTCCAGCCATTCCTACCTCTTTTTGCATAGTCTATTTCTCAATTTGAGACATTTTCACAATAATGCCATTTGAAATGTGATTAACTTTAAGCTGCCCGAATTGGGAACAGAATTTAAGAAGGCTGCATAGGCCCACTGCTGTACTAGAAGTGCTAACTGACAAGTAACAGATAAATAGGTACAAGTAGGTATGTTTCATTAATTGTATCAATGTTGGCCTGGTGGTTAGTAATAAACATGTTGCCATATATTAAAGGGCATAGATTTTGTACTATGACAGTTAGTTGTTCAAGTTCTACAACTGCTGTGAAAAATCAGGTAAACTGACGAACTACAAATAATATGAGTACTAAGGCAATGATCATATTTTATATTTTGCATGTGGTGTTAAGCAGGAAAGACTGATTTAGAAATGAAGGGATATAGAACTTTTATTCATATATAACTTTTTGCAATACATGCTAATGGATTTCAGCACATTCAAGTTTGGCTAATGGATGGAGCATAGATATGCATGAGTATGACTTGGCCACAAGCCCACAACATCAATGTGTATGTTAATACCACACCAACTCATGTCATTGCCTAACAGCAATAGTTTTCTTTTGGACAACCGAATGTATTTCTAATTATACAGTTGAAAGTAAATCACAACATCCCTGTATATTTCCAAATTGATAAATATTACCTATTAACAACTGACTTTAAAATATGGGACAGTCCCAGCTATTTGGCTTTATTCAACTTAAATAATAGACTGAAATATTTTGAATGCTACAGCCTGAGCCAGCTATATCAAACACTATTAAAACCTCAGAATGAGTTAATATGAAACTCAAAATAGCCAAAATTATTAATAAACTTTGGGATATCGCCATTTATCCTGACAAGATTATTCAATCAGATAAAAACCACCACATGATCACCAGAATAATTCAACTTTAAAATCAGTAATGGCATTCTACACTGTCCTAAAGGATTCAATCACCATGCATTGGTTGTAAAAGAACACAATTTATTCTGTCAAAATCATGTTATAAGGAGATTTTATGAATTAGATAATGTTGATGCTACAAATCCTGGATGTTCGTTCACCCTGAAACAAATATTGTAAGTGAATGGATCCCAATGGATATAAATATCTATTAGAAATGCAGTTTGTTTTGCCTAAAGAAAACCAGTCACAAAAAAACCTACTTCCATCACATACCGAGTTTAGGAACAGTTCTCCAAGTCGCACATCATTACAAGTCCAGTCTTCATAGCATTTTTGAACATTCTCATAAAACTTTTCATGATGTTGGTACAATTGTGGGATCTTATAAAACATTTCATCTACAAGTCTCGGCTCGCATGTTGAGTGGTTTTCGGGATGTTTCAGTGGTGTCATATAGTCCTGACAAGTAAAAATATTAAACTTCAAATTGTAGCATCTCCTTGTCGATCCTACTATTTCAGACTCAAAAATGATAACCATAAATAAAACGACTTTGATGAGTATGGCTACTAATTGAATACGGTAGTTGAGGAAAAAGTTTGACAAATGCATTAGTAATCCTGGCTGTAAATAATAATAACGAGAATATCGGTCAGAGACCGAAGACTTATCGATAGAAGGTTAGGGGATCCCCCAAAACAGCGCTCTTACTCCATAGTGACACCTTGTGCCCCATCACTAATTAATTAATAACCCGCTAATTATACGACATAATTCGCCCAAAATCAATAGGCTACTGGTCCGAGATATGATGAATGCACATGCGAAATCTGCAGCAGATCCAATCTCACTTTCGTGAGATATCGCGTGCATCTAACAGACAAACAGATAAACAGACAAATACCTATCAACATACTTGCCGATTAAAATCGATAAGTAATAACATAAATATCAACAATTCGACAAATAAATCCATTTGATATGTAACATTTCACAGTTTATTATGTTTACCTGATACAATATTCTTAAAGAACTGAGGTAAGACTCCTCTGTCTCTAACAAGTTTCTAAAAGCATGTAGACGCATGTCCTGAAAGACAAATACAAGAAGTACAGTTTTCTGTTAACAGCACACTCATGTCTAGTAGATAAAAACCAACAAAGTAAAACTGATGGTCTCTAAGCAATTCGAAAATAAGCCACACAGATATGGATGAAAAAGACATTAAAAATATATTTGCTACAGTCCAGTGATTTTAGTTTTGACATGTGTCATGATAGAGCAATGTTTCCCAACTGGGGAAGAATTTTGTCATTCTTGGGAGAAAATTTTGCTTATGACACTCACATGAAATACTCAAAGTGTACAGAAGTGGAAGTGCGCTTGCGCATAATACAAGCTAATGATTTATTAAAGATAGTTCATAAGGAACTGAATAAGACCCTTAAGTTTTTGGTTGTGATATTTCAAAGAGCGTCATTGACTTGACAAGTTTAGCAAAACATTTTCACTATAGTCTAAGGGGCTATTGAAAAACTGAACTTCAATCCAATAATCCCTAATTTCAATCAGAATTGATAAAATGTTTATGAAATAATCCCCTGTGCGCATATGCTATTTGCAAGACCTGAGAAATATTTAATTACATTTCAATTAAGTCGTTCTAGGCATTGAGCAAAACATTTTCCAACATCAAACCATCTACATGCATAATTTATAACTTAAGTAAATAATAATGTCTCTGAGTACATACTGGTAAACATACACAACAGTAATTCAAATGAAATTTATTAATTATTTCCAGGATAAGACACTAAAATTATCATTAAAACATTCCACTCATTTATTTCAAATACTTTTAAACAAATAAACAGTTTCTACTGCAAATTACATAGCAAAAAACCCAACAACAATTTTCTGTTGGATAGATGTTTCGGGCAGGCTAGGTCTAACTGTTGTTTAACCCAAAGTGAATATTTGGTCTATAAACTAGGAATTTAGATTCAGATGGACAAAAAATCTCCCAATTAGGTACAGATCTTCATTGTATTTAGTAATGTCAAGTAATATCGAATGAGATCAATTGAATACAAATATATAGTTACATGTGAATAACAGAATAAACATTTGATACAATAAGCATATACTCACATGGCCCCTTTTATCTTTATTAGGTGGGAATATATAGTCTTCCTTTCCTTCTGATATAAATACTGTATCCACAGATTGTGCACTCTGTATTCGACTTATATCAGTATCCACATTTTCAAAGGTAGGAGCCTGTATAATGCCAGCTCTCCTGCCCCTGTTGCTTGAAATTTCTTCGAATTTAGGGGAATCTGAGATGCAATCATTTTGAACAGGTTCACTCATAGAACGATGGTGATCAACAGAATATGATTCCTGATCGAAAGCCTCACGATGTGTGTCTCTGGGTTGCATGCTGGCAAAAACCTTATTGAATTGCTTCAAAGATGGTTCAATAAGCGTATCAGGTTGATGCTTCTGTACTGGGCCCATTTCTTCAGAAGCCATAGAGGAAGATGTTGATGACAGCCGGTTAGTTAAAACAACAGGGTCTGAATAATTGTTGTTCTCTGCCATTAATTGTTTCACTATGCTATATCCAACTGGCATTGCAACATTTTGCTCTCTTATTCGTGATTTCATGCTGCTCTTTCTATTTCTTTGAGACATTTGAAGACTTGTCTCGTTAAGTACCTGCTCATCGGTTTTTCTATTATCATTCTTTGTTACTTGGTATTTTTTAAATTGGTCTAAGGGTTCGAGTTCATCAATTTGCTCCATAACATTTGGTTCACTAGATGAGCTAGGTATTTTGAAGTTATTAATACCAGAACCGGAGTCTCTTCCTCTAACATTTATGTCCATTATCCTTTCTGGATTTGGATCACTTCTAGATTTCTTTTTCACAGCCTTTACTTGATACTTATAAATATCATGATGTTGCATCTCATGAGATTCATTTACAAAATCCATATTGTTTAAAGTATCACCCCATGAAGATGAAGGCTTACTTGATTTACTATAACCACTTTGTGATGTTTGGCTAAAGGATACAGTTGAATCTCCTTTTCCAACTTGAGAAGGAAGAATATCACCTCTGGGATGGTTAGGTTTAATCATACTATTCTTGTTTAAATTTTCAGATGATGTACCACATCCTTTTCCAGCATTAGACGTAGTAATTTTTCCATCCGATTTTGAAAATATACTTGGATAAGCGTGTTCAATCTTTTGGGTATGTATGCCTCCATCATCTTCAAGTAATATCGCATTTTTATACCTTAATTCAGGTTCTGAACTCCTTAGGTAATTTGTCTGTGAAAGATCAATTCGATCATCACATTGTTTGGAAGTAAAATTTGGTGAAGGGGGCTCGGGATGTTCATTCAATGTCTCAAGATTGGGTGGATGGCTTGTTACATTACCCCTTGGTGATACACTTAAAACAGGTTCAGTTCTTGAAACTCCTTTTTGCCAAGTAGCGATACTTGGATGTTGAGGTGGGCTCATTTTTTTCAATGACTCAGTCAGTTCCTTCATTTGTTCGAGCATTGACTTGCTACTCTTCGACTTACTCAAATCTACAGCAGAATTTGAATAGATGCTTGAATTTGAAAAAGTAGATTTTGTTTCAATAGGCATTTCCTCAGGACCTTCAACGATTATAAGTTCGTTACTATTAATTGATTGTAAATGTGCATACTTTATTTTTGAGTTTTGATGCGTGGATCGTCCTTGCTTAAAACTCAATGGAGTTTCAGGGTTTGATGTGGTACTGTCAACACACAGGGATGTTGACTTATGACCTTGGTATTCACCTGATCCATCTTTCAGAGTCTCTGTACTGCTCATGCAAGGCGATAAATCCTGAGAGGAATTTTTGACCATTTGTACCTTAGGAAAGTTTGTAACGTCATTACGGCCAGTTGGACTTATTTTTCCATATATGCTACGCTCCATTTGATGACCATCTAGCTCATGTTTCATTGGTAAATCTCCACTGATGCATGAATACGAACTAGATCGAGGTTTCGGACTGTCATCAGCAGAAGCAATTTTAGTTAATTGGTCTATCGTTTCCTGCATTGTCAATGTTGTGGAGAATTTATAGTGATTGTTGCATGTCGAGGCCAAAGTTGATGGGATGGAAGTCGATCGTGAGTGAATGAGAAGACGCTCCGTATCCTCGTCACGTGGCCAATAATCTTCCCCCACCTTGGTAGCTTTGATTTTAGGAGCCTGAATTAATGGAACATCCTCTTTTTTGGTTTTTGAAGTTTTAGAAATGCTGGTACTCCGAGTAGTCAGTTCATTTGTTTTTGTTACTTCCACTTCAAAAAAGTTTCTTATGTTTTCAACACTTCCAGATTCTTTATTCCTTCGCTTTTCTGACTTTGCTACTTCAATATAAGCAACGCTGCTAGATGGCGATCGTGGTGTGCTTTGTTGTGATGTATTCGAACTAGCAGTCCATACAGACTTGTTAAAGTGATCTGAGGCAATAGACTCTTGATCTGGTTGTTCTACAGAGTCAGGACTAATACTTCTGGTGTAATTAGCCTCACTGCTACCACTAATTATTAACTCATTCCCATTGGAACATGAAAAATTATCATCCCCTTCCTGAAAGCGAAGGCCGTCTGACCGTTTTTCCGTGCCAATATGAGAGTCAGTGCGTCGATCGCATTTGGAAGATAGTTTTCTCACGTTACTGCAGCGTTCCTCTTCCACATCACCTTGGGAATATTGGAACTCTGTCAACTGCGCCATGCTGCCATCGCCAGTCAAGTTACCGAACTCGCAAAGGTCAGTTTGTTTATAGTTATCAGGAAGACTCACGTATTTGTCTTCCAGAACCGGTAAAACCTGGCGTCCGTAACGTCTGGTTAACCCTTTTTCTGGACGGCCCCTCCCCCGACGTACCGGTACCACGTCTTTTACCTCGTTATCGGTGGGATTCACAACTCTAACACTTGCACTTTCTTTACTACCACTATCAATTACACGCACCCTCCTGGGCCTTCTTCTTCGAATCTCCGACCTTTTTCTTTCGGGGTCCGATGTATCAGGTGTTTCAGTTGATAGCATTCGAGATTTGGTTAAGGTTTCAATAACCGTCTTCGAGTTGCGGTGATTCGGAGAATTGCAGTCAGAATCAGAGCTTGAACTGCTGCTAGTACTAGAAAACTTATTCATTTCCGTTGAAATTTTTCTGCTGCGTTCAGCAGCAAATGGCCGACGACCGTACGAAATGCAATTACTTTCGGCTCGATGGGTGCTTGTTTCTGCAACAACCGGCTGTATGTATGAAGGCAAATATGGAGAGTACTTACGCCTATTGCTATTAGAATTGCCCACGGCGTTGGAAGGCTTATGCTCGGAACGATTTTGTTTACAGAGCAGCTCATTAGAGTGCGCTTTCAGTCGTTCAGGCCTTCTGCGGCGCCCGCCAGTACCCCTCCCGCGTGAGCCTGTCAAATTTTCTTCACAATTATTTGAATTTCGCAATGAATGCTGATCATAACCAGCAATGTTTCTATCCTTTCTACGTTCTCCATATTTTTCGCGTATGGAAGCGACATCAGATGAACCGTCGAACTTGGTTGTGCTTACTTTACTTGATGTAGTCCTTTTTGTGTTAGAACGATGATCACGGCCGTCCTGAACTTCGCGTGAATGGTGCGATTCATCTGCTCTGGTCGATACAGCTTTGTTCATATCATTGATATGTGTCCCTTTGAGGGTAATATTTCCAAACTCGTATTGGCGAGGAGCGGATGACTCGGACACCACAGCGGCTTTTCTATTAGCATTCGCTATTCCTGCATCTGAACGCCTGTAAGTCATATTTTCTATACTCGACTTGTGTATGGCTCCAGTTTCTGACAAAATAGTCGAAGTGTCGCTAAGATGTCTTTTGCTGTCTGTTACGTCGGCCGGGACATGCTCGTATTCAAAAGCGATCATTTTTGCTTTTTGTGGGGGAACGATGACATATCCCTTAGCCGTCGTGGTGTGGCCAGAAAGAGCCAAATTCATTCTGTTGGAAGCCCTGTCGTTAATAATGCGTCCGTTCGGATTATCTTGAACAGAAGACATGTCGCGAGAACCGGACATTGTATTGGAGACGAGCTCCCGGGCATGCATTCTTTTTTTAATATCATTTTCATCATTTGTACTTCCCATAGCGGTAGTTTTTTACCAGATCATATATCCACGGGGCTTAGAGATAATTTTCACATTTATTATAAAAGTAAAGTAAACACATGCCAAGCACGTTTCCAATGTCATTAATCCATAACGTTTGAAACAACATTTATTTACATAACAAGGTCACAAAAGTATCCCTAAAATATAGACAATTAACGTATTAGGCTTATACAAGGAAATAAAATTCAAAATCGTCTTCTTCAAACTTTTCTTACATACATAAACCTAAAATTACAAACACATGAGTTGGTTTAATTTCACTGATGAAATAGTAGGCTACTGATAAACGTTGAATGGAGCTCGATGGTTGAAAACAACCTAATAACAAAAAATATTTTACGAAAGCCATGTTTTATAAATGTATCGCTTCTGGCACGCAACTTTCGCGACTAACATCAACCTTACGATTTTAGTATGACGTACGAAGAAAACATTTGCAGTCATTCATTATTTCATGGCACCGTTTCAGTGTTTCAAAATCGAAAATAAAAGCTGTGAGGCAACACAACATATAATAGGCAGAATTTCAGTGAAAAAGTATGAACAACTTTGTTAAAAAAAAACCGAAGAAACTTGCAATCGTCAGATTTCTCAGGAGGAATGATGTATTTTCGAAAATTTAGCAAAATTTCAAGCGTTTCCAAAATTCTTAATTGATTGTCATGCATTTTATGTAACCTCGCTGACTACGGCGAGACAGTTGTTGTTGCGATTGATTATGAAGTATGACTATGATTAACGTTTTTTAATCATGTATATTATGGGTCTAGATAACTATAACTGTATACATTGCAAGCATTCATATATGCCTATGTAAAACATACAATATAGCATAGTGTTAACGCCAAAAGTCATTGCTAAAAAATTGACTCAGCAGAAATCGATAATTATAAGCTACCCAATCAAAATTTCGCATGACGTCGAAGACCTTATTTGAAGATAATAAATAAATGTCAGAGTTAGCTTTTGAAGCAGAACAACGAAATAAATACCTTGTAAAATCATAACTTGTACTTGACTGAAAGATTATATTACAGAGGAAACTAACGGCGTGAGTAATAATCCAAAACCATTTATGGTAAGTAAAACCGCGCTTTCTACAATTTACGGTAAACTTTAAAATAGTCGATTTTCAATACAATAACTTACACTGGTTTTGTCGACAAAATATACCACACTAAACTTATCTCTTTCCCAGGTCGAAGGGTTTATGTAATTCAGTCTAATCTCGAGGCTACCAAACACAAATCAGCCCGGGGGAACGTTTACTCAAAAAATAAAAGCATTCTTATAAAGCGATAAACTGAGCGTAATGAATCAGATTTCTGTGTTATTCTCTGATAGTAAGCCCCGCCTCATTCAGGCGTAAAATCTTCGCTGGTATGGTCCGTGTCACATAACATAACAGGAATGTGCGACACTTCGAGAGGCCTATGTACAAAGAAAAAGGCATCACGTGTGTGCTTAGTCGGTTAGTTACACAATGAGGTTGATATGCGCTTATATACTTGCGTTCTTTTGATTGTCGACATAAATTTCTAAAAGCCTGTAAGGCTTTGTGTGAGAATACCATTGATTGAAGCAATTTCTTATTTGATAAACTTCATATAATATACCTTTTCGTTAATCTAAGACTTATTTTTATATTTGATATATTTTTATTATGAGCATAATCGTGCACCATTGTCAGTATTTAAAAACATAAATATGTTCAATTTTGGCGATTTATGATGTATGAGGTCTATTTTATCCGAGCTTGGTTAGCCCCACTGAATTTCTGGAAGACAAAACGTTTTACTCTTATATAAATCATCATACTTGTTGATAGATGGGTCTGCTCCGAATATTAAACAGAATGTACGCCTGTTTATTGTGTATGTAGAACACTAAGGGAAGGTCTTCGTTACATCCATTTCCAAATGCCGACTTCGATTTGTATCGCGTGTGTCCTCAGACATCAAGATAGACTTACTGTTGTATGTTTTTAACATTATCTAAACAAGAGATCAATGCTCCAATATATGAACATGTAAGCCAAAATTGAGTATCAAATCTTTCACAGTACCATAGTCTGACCACCAGATCAAGATAATTTATCTTGAACTATGCGATAATACAAAAAATGACAAATACAAATGACGAAAATTATGGTAGCTGCCAAAACTAATAGTATAAGCATAATAATAAGGAATGAACATGAAACATAAAACGACTACACAAAAGAATTTTAACCACTTTTGAAAATCTAAATAAATCCTAAATAAAAAAACAAAAATAGGAACAAATTGCAAGAAAGAAAATCCATTGAAAATGAATTTAAATCTGACCAATGACATTAAACAACATGATGCGCAACTCCGGCATTTTTGTCCGAAGATCGTATTCGATAGCACGCTCCAATGCACATACTTGACGAGACGAAAACGAGCGGATGTGTGCTGCTTTCGAGGCGTAGCACGAATGGTGTTCGTGCCTGCTTTGACAGTTGTTGTCGATTTTAATGATATTTTTGAAAGTTGGGGTAAAAAGAAATCGGTAAAAGGTAAGGTGAATACTATTGTTGTATATCACACCCGGGCATCGCACTGTTAAGAACATGTGGGAAAGCCAGCCTTTGTCAAATACTACGAAGTTATTAATTCAGTACGGTACGTAGTTGCCCATTTGCCGAAATTACATATTTACTTACCCCTTATGGTTTCAAATAGTTCATGCACCTCCAGTTAGATTTTTTTAATCAGTGAGGATATATACTCATTGTTGATTGCTGCTCATTGTAACATACTATTGCGCATTCACTTTTATTTGCCTATTGAATCAAAGTGTTAACAAGTTCACCTAACATTTCACTCATACCGGTCTATATGGTATAGTCTGATTTCTCAAGTATTTGGAGCCACGAATGCTTGTAATTTTCTGACTAAACCCTTTTATTAGTTGGTTTATATACCAAATTCAGTAAAATATTTTTTACATAAAACATGAGATATTGGATTTATTAGCTTTTCCATTCTAAATCATATAGACTGCATTATTTATTCTTAACGAAAATTAATAAATCTCCTCTCTTTCTTCAGATGTGAAAGTTGTGGACAAACCTGTCTAAGCATTGTGAGACTCTTGCAGTACAAGAGGCAATAGCAGAAATAGTAAGTATATCAATCAAGAAATTAAGCCGACATAAAGCAAAACTTTCAACTATTCGTCTAATCTCAATTTCCTATTATTTATTCACAGGACAACTATAGCAGACGGGGAGATATCAGAAGTCTGGCGACATATCAGTGACAGTGTGATTCCAAGAAATATAATGTTTGCAATAGAAAAACAACCTATGGAGGCATGCAAAGACATTTGACTCTCCGGTAGAGTTGTTTATGGCCCCCGCATCCTGCAGGGCTTGAGGAAAATAACTAAAAATTCCAAAGCGTAAGATTGCATAAGCGGTCTTATTTGTAAAAAGGCACAAAACACGCCAGACATACTTAAAACAGCTTTGGAAATGAGGATTACGGGTACCTCACTGCACCTGTGTTATATTTGGTTCATCAACTTTTGGTAGTACTATAGAAAAAATTCCGGAAGGGGTATAATCATCATTCATGATAAAATACTATCATATATTTTTTGAACAACTTCAATCTAGACCAGGGATCTCAAACTCGCGGCCCCAGAGAACTTCCAGTGCGGCCCTCGAACGCTTAACAATAATTGTAATAGTATTTTGGAAGTTTTTTTTTTATCTAAATGTAATAGATTTTTCAAACCTTCTAAAGTGAAATTGATTATTCACACAGAAAACAATTTACTGAAAGTAGTTTTGGAATATTAATTTTTTTTGTCCACATTTTGACCCAATTAAGAATACACATCAAGCTAGCAAAAGAATACTTGAATAAAACACTTGAGTAATTAAATTAAACGCAAAGTACATGAAGAAGGTGGCATTTTCGAAGAAAATGGGAGTTGTAACATTTCTGATCTTCACAAAATTCTGAAGCACATTGTTTAATTTGTCATATTTCCATCAATACAATCAAAAAACACAATAAGCTCAGCAGTCAATATGACAAATTCGAAGACCAACTTCGAACAGAAAATTTCCATGTGTTTGTATATTAATATAATTATACAACGACTTAGTTACTAAAAATCAATATCAATAATAATTCAAGCAATCCTGTGGCACGCAATGTAGTGCGAAATGTCTTGTCGAAAAAATCTGTCATTTGTTTTTTTACTGATCTATACATGAAATGATAAAAGTAACTTTTTTGCATTACTGGAATTAATTAAACATTCGTAAAGATCCAGATAAACCCATGATCATGTGGCCTCGTTAGTTAGAGTTGGTACTATAAAATCATTTCGAACTGGCCTTAGTATGCTGGTGACACAAAAAAGATGCCAAACGCCAGGACAAATGTAATTATTAAAACATTGAGTTTATACTGTAGTATTTTTGTTAATTTTAGGTTCATATATTTAGATTAAGTTATTTTTAGTGTATGTATTATTCTTTCCTTATTCAAAGCTTGTTCAAAAATGATTTTGATGGTTGTACATAGAATTTTAAGATGTTTTATAATAAATACTGTAACTTGCAAATGTTGCAATAATAGTGGAATGCAAATATTAATATGTAATTGCATTTGAAATTGAAGAAAATAATAAAACTTAATCCAACTGTTTAGTTGCATCACAATATATGTCACAAACTAAAACTATCTTAAAAATATCTTTTAAGTATACATTATCAAAAACTGTTTGCGGCTCTTTTTACAATTTTCAAAATGCAATGCGGCTCTCGAAAACCCATGAGTTTGACACCACTGATCTATTCTAGACGATTCAAGCATTGCTTTGGGAAATTATATCACTTCAATTAAATTGAAATAATCTCGCTATATTAAATACAAAATCGTTGCTATCATAAAGGTAAACCAATTCAGCCACTCGAAATATAATGGCCTTCACAAAGCAATGGAGGCAAAATTGAGAGTTCATGAGCTATGAACATTTGTTCTTTTCTTTGTCTTGAACTTTTCATACTCCACAGCCCCTATTAATTTTTTTTAATTTTAATTACCATGTGATGGTCATACATATCTTTAACTTGTAT